TGTTTATTAAAAAGGTTTCGTTTTATTTTTCACATAAACATAAAACACATAAACCAAATCAACATACTGTAATATAATGATAGGACCAGCTCAGAGTTGTCTGCAGTGGACTTTGTTCTTCTGCTTCCAATATAAGTGTAAAGCTCAAGGCCCTTGACTCAGTAACTGCTAGGCCTCATAAAATTTATAGCTGAGAACAAGAATTCCATGAACCGTCTGATTTTAGAGCAGTGGTGCAGTTTTCACTTGTAATCCCACCTGAAAGATCCTTTTGGGGAGGGTGGTATTGGAATAGTGTAGAAGATAGCACAGAATAATGTGCAGAAAAGGAAGAATCAGCAGCAATTACTACCTGATTGATTTGGAGGCAAGCTTTTCTGTGTCTCAGTCCATTCACTATGCGGCTGTTAAAGATGACTATTTGCATGGGTAAATAAATCTTACGAAATTGTGGAAACCCTATGAGATTGGTTTTCAAATAGCACATTCTTGTGTGAGAATACTTAGTTGTTAATAGTTCTCTGTGAACACTAGAGTTATTTTTGTTAAAGAATAATTTTAGGATTTTTAGAACCAGCCACACTTGTGGTCCAAATGTTTCAGGGTACTTCCTAACTGTATATATGTGAAGGTATATTTCCCCTTCATCAGCTGTGAAGCTGGTATACTTGTGCCAATAATTTTGTTACCTTTGCCTGATTTTCAGATTGTGGTTAAACTGTGGCCTGGTTCAAAAGTCTGTGTAAAATCATCTCTGATGTTTATGACACTCTAAAGTAGCAATACAACGAACTAATGAGGAAATTGCTGGTGTCCATTGAGAAAAACATGATATGTCAAATCTGCTCAAGTTCACATTAACACTTGTTTGCATTATTACTCCCTTTGTTCATTTTCTTTCTTTAACACTTGTTTAGAGTACAAGATCTTAACAGTTAATTCGTGTATGTGCTGGTTGCCTCCAGAATATCCTTTGTGTTATGGTTCATAATGAAGATTAATTGTTTTGTTTGCAATTTACATTGTGTTCATCCTATCTCATAGCTACAGGCTGTTCTGCCCTTGACCTTCATTCTTTTCTGTATCCTCTACCAAAACTGACCAAAGTGCTCCCTTTTCACGGGTAGCTCTGTTGCCCAAACAGTAAAATAGAACAAAATACAAAATTCACAAAAGAGCGATACCTTTATTGGCTAACCAAAATGCAGAAAACATATCATGCTAACTTTCAAAGCTCCACTGGCTTTTTCGTCAGAGAAAAGATGATAAAAAAGCATGTTGGTAGGGAACTGAATATTTGTGCAAATATATGTAATCTGAAACCTTGCTTGACATGGCTACTGAAAGCCAGCTGAGATAAACCTGGGAAGTGTCGGACCAAAGCTCTAGATTTGCCATCGAACAGGCATAACTCTGTCTTGCGTAAAGCTGGATATTACCATTTGTTTTCAATACATTTTCTGTCTGTGGAAGATATGACTGGTGACAGAATGTCCAACTGTTTCAATTTACTGATTCTACGTTAGAGCTATTCCAGGTGATCCTGGAAAACAGGTGTTTCTTTAACTTGTTTAGGAATGTCTCTCAGACTGATTATAGTTTTGTGCTAGTTAATGATTCCTGTCTTCTAAGTCACCGTGGCACTGCAACTGTCATCTTACTGGATTTTTAAATCAACTTTTATATTTAAACATATACTTGGACTTCACTCAAGTTTTGTTTTCCAGTAATTCTCTCACCTGGTTCTGGTCTGTTCAGACATGGAAGGTGGTCAATAGGTAAATCATTTTAGTCATATGTGAATTGGAAGATATTCCAAACTTAGTATTACCCTTAATATAATTTCTGTCTTAAGCTGCTTAAAATGATCGGCTCTAGCTTTGTAGATAGATAGTATGTGGATCCAAATGTATTTGATTGAGATTTGGAGTTGCTGCCTAGGAGGTGATTTTCTCGTAGATGCAGGCAATTGATCTGAAGGTGTGTTAGATGGAGGCAATTGATCTGAAGACAAATTGGAAGTGTTTCTGGTTGGTGACCTGTAGGGGCTTATTTGTGATTAACTGGCATTTTGGATTCCAAATGTGAACAGGTGCAGAGCTTTGGAGTAGTTCTGGATTTGGCACTACTTTCGGAAAAGCAGATGGCTATGAATTCTAGAAATGCTTTTTACCAGTTGCATTTATTATGTCGTTTCTATGTCAATTTGATCAGAAGTAATCTGAGCCAGGTTTTTGTGATTTTCGACCTTGACCATTGCAGTGTGATCTATTCAGATCAGTCACTGACACAAAAAGCTTGCTAATGTAAGATTCAGCTGCCTACCTCTTTATAAATACTAAACTATGTGAATGTATTCACCCTGTATTATATTTATATTAAAGTCTTTCCAAACGGAATGCTGTCCTCCCACTCATTTTCTTGAAAGCAGCTAAGTCTAGGATCCATCTATCTTACGATTTACTATTGAAAACTTTATCTTACAATTACCTCTGTATATATTTGCCATCACTGTATAGTTCTTGCCTTGCCACATCCTTTTGTGATATGCAAAGTTACAACTCTTGGAATTGTTTACGAATGGTCAGAAGACTGACTTCTGACATGTTCAGTTAAGGTGAGCTGGCTGGGCTGAACACCAGCATTCAGCAGCTTTCTATATTGGTTTGTAATTTTAGGCATAACTTTAGATATGGCATGACTCACCAATGGGCATTGTTATATTTAAAATTGTGTCTACAATAAAAATTGAAAGCTGTTGTAACCTTTTGGGTAAGTAGACTGGATATGTTTTCAATAAATGTTACTCTTTGTGTAATACTTTCATACTGTCCCTCAATTTTCTTCTAATAAGTTACTAAAGCCAGGTCCCTTTTGGAACATATCAAATTTTCTTCAGCAGAATGTGTAGTGGAAATATATGTCAACTACATTCATTTCAGTATACTTTATCCTAAAATGTTAATGTGGGCTTTAAAAGAGGATGAGGAATTATGACCTTCCAGATGTTTTGGTTGAAAGATTCCATTAACTTCACCCAGCGTGGCTAATGGTAGGAGATCATGTGAGTTCTTGTTCAAAACATACTGAGGGTCAGGGCTCCCCAGTGAGGTATAGTAACAACTGCAAATCATTCTTATAACAGTAACACAGTTAATCCTAATACAAGCTTTTAAAAGGAAGAGTGTACAGTTCTTGTAAAAACTCCAAGAAGTGTGCTATCATTGTCTTGGCAAGCTCATTCTGTAGATTCAAGACAGTAGTAGAAAAGACTATTGAACTATAATTATTATGACTTAGAGTCAAGCTAATAAGACTTTAACATGGGAAGGAGGTTCATATGATGAGAAGATTTGTTCTGCATGTATGTCTTCAACTCATTTCCAACCCATGACAACCCTGGGGTGAATCTACCACAAGATTTTCTTGGTAAAATATGGTGGGCTTATATGCCCAAATGATGATTCAAACTTTTGTCTCCGGAATCACATTCAAAGCACCACACCACGCTAATGTGAGACCGATCTGGCTATAATATCTGTTACCCCATTGATTGCCAGGGTTGATTTGGCTGGTCTGGCTGGTTTGGTATATGTCCCCTTTCTCCCTCACCATACCATGTTGGTTCTTCATATAAGATATTCAGATCAGGTATACAAATGGCCTGCAGCTATTTCTTCTTTTGTTTGTTTGGGATTTTTAGGGGATTAATGAAACTACAGTGGTTTCCAGGGAAATTGGTCCACAGACCTTGCCATTTCTACTCTAACAGAAGCTAGATTAGGTTCATGTTAATTCTTATTTACCAGATAATAAGCAATGATGTTCTTTATGGAATGTTATATAGCAAACAGATTTCATTCACACACACACACACACACACACACCCTTAACATTGCTTTAAAAATATTTGTTCTGTGGACTAATGTCTCCATTCCTGAAGAATTCCATACCCCTGGTCAAGAAAACCTCATTTGCTTGTTACCAACTTTGTGCGTTTTTCATTACACAAAAAGAAAAGCAGAACAGCACAAGTTCCAACAATATGGCAAGTTTTGCCAAAGGCAGATTGCTGCTCACATAGAAAACTTTATACATTAGTAAGATTCCTGATTTTCTAAGGCTCTTAACATGCACAACTTCCATGTGAACAGAAACCCTCTCATCTTTTCTGCATATTTGTCACTTTCCATGTGAAAAAATGATGACAGAGGGAAGCAGGACTTTAATGCTCCTCTCTCTGATCTGATGTAGAAACCAGAGTGAATAAGAAATGAATAGGACTTAGAAGCATGAGAAGTTTCCTAGGGCGGAGCTTCTCAACTTCCAGATGTTGTTGGGCTCCAGCTTCAATTATTATAGGCAACTGGCTATGTTAGCTGAGGCTTATAGGAATTGTAGTATAACAGCTCCTGGCATGTAGCATGTACCCTCCTGTTCTAGGCATTTGAGATGTGCTTGAAGACATGCAGTGGGACCTTCCTCAGAATGCAACTTCTGCTTAGTATACTATTGTAATTTGGGCAGGTGGTGCTCTGAAACTTTAGTTTTTGAAAATGAAATTCAAACAATGCTTCTTGGCAGCTCATTTTTTAAAATTTGAAGCAGTAAGATTCTGCATTCTGGATGGTGCTGTTGTCCTGAATAATAGATTATTTGTTTTGTATTCTGAACCAGAGGCATTGAAATTTGATTGAGTAAACAGTGAGGCATTTCTCTAGGTCAAATTAACCTTACTTAAAATTTGCTTCTAGAAAGCATCTCAGTGACATTTTTTAAATTTTTAGCTTTAAATCAGTTTTAAAAAGACTATCTGATCTAAAATGGTTTGATTTAATTGTATGCTCAGTAAAAATGTTTCTGTGAAATATAAAATTCACCATATTAAATTCTTCAGATGGAAAGTAAAGTAACATTTTCTAGTCAAGATTCTTTCATAGTTCAACTTATTTCTTGGAACAGATGAATCAAAACAAATATTTATTCTTTATTTGCTTTAGGTCCTGGGGTAGCCCAGAATGGCTGCAGTGTCATATGATCAGTTGTTAAAACAAGTTGAGGCGTTAAAAATGGAGAACACAAATCTTCGACAAGAACTGGAAGATAATTCAAATCATCTTACAAAACTGGAAACTGAAGCATCTAACATGAAGGTATAAAAATAATTTGACTTCAGTAGCTCTTGGGGTTGGTGGCCCAAATCACACAGAGAAGTCTGTGTGTATCAAAACCTATGTATTTGGATTATTGCCTCACAGAATCCTAACTATGCTTTCAAAAGTTCTAGGTTTGCAGGAAAAACATGCAGTAAATATTATTATCTAACAAGAGAACAAAAGGTTTTGTATAGAATGCTGGTGGGATGTACATTAAATATTCACTTATTCGGAAAATATATTGCTGTGCCATGTGAAAGGGAGAATGTGCTAGCTTCTCACCCTCAGTCCTTCCCTGCACCTATCCTGTAGGACTCTACATCATATACAGCCCTAATTTAGTGATCATCCATGTGTAGGAAAATCACTTACACACACATTACAAACTTTCCCTTTGAAGAGAACAGAACTTGTGATGGAAAGGGTATGACAATGCACTTCCTTCTTTCCCTGTTGAATTAATATATTTCCTAAATAAATAAGATTTACACGTGGCGTGTAAGATATTTACGTATGTGTAAGAAAAATCCTTGGCAGATTTACCAAATCTGTGAAGGGAAGCTGCTCTATTGTTTTAAGGATCAGGCTTCACTATATTGTTAATCATATAGTTTGACCTTTTATGTTTTTGAAGCAAACAAATACCTGTATTTACATGTGTGTTATTTGGGATTCTGGTGTGGGGAAAAAAATATATAAGACATATATATATAGTTGCAGTGGAGAGAGCTCCCCTGTTCCAGAGGGGTAGTGGCTGGTGAAGGTAGGCAAACATATCCTGTTAGTGCAGTGGTTCTCAACCTTTTTAATGCCACGCCCCTTTGACACAGTTCCTCATGTTATGGTGAACCCCAACCATAAAATTATATTTGTTGCTACTTCATAACTGTAATTTTGTTACTGTTATGAATCGTAATGTAAATATCGGATATGCAGGATGTATTTTCATTTTTGTAAATTGAATATAATTAAAGTATAGTGATTCATCACAAAAACAATATGTTTGGGGGAGTATAAACAACGGATTGATGGGATTTGCAGTACCTTCAACCAGTTCAGCTCTGACTTCTATAGACTACTGAGACCCCCACTGATGACAGATCTAGACCAACATTGCCATACAGAACCACCATGACCAACAGAAAATACTGAGGAGTTTGGGAGAAATTGACAGTGATTTAGGGGAGATGTAGTTCACCTACATTCAGAGAGCACTGTGAACCCAAACAATGATGGATCTGGCCCAAACTTGGCATGAATACTCAATATACCCAAATTTGAACACTGGTGGGGTTGAGGGGGACAATGACTGATTTTGTCATTGTAAATCAAAGAGCATTCTAAATCCGCCAACAATGGAATTGAACCTACTTCCCACGCCGAATGCCCATGACCAACAGAAAATACTGGAGGGGTTTGGGAGGAATTGACAGTGATTTAGAGGAAATGTAGTTCACCTACATTCAGAGAGCACTGTGAACCCAAACGACGATGGATCTTAACCAAACTGGGCACACTGACCCAACGTAGCCAACTATGAATATAGGTGGTGTTTGGGGGTGATTAACTTTTCATATGGGAATTGCAGTTCACCTACATCCAAAGAGTACTGAACCCAGCTGATGATGGATCTCAACTAAACTTGGCATACAGACCCAACATGGCCAACTTTGAATACTGATGGGGTTTGGAGTTGATTGACCCACCATCTTGGGAGTTGTAGTTCACCCACATCCTTATGAGAGCATTGACTTAAAAAAGGAAAGACTGACCTTTGGCCACCATGAAGCCCAGTCTCAGGCTGGCCTGGCTGGCCAGGTATACTGGCAGCAACCACAGCAGGTGCCACCCCATTTCTGCCAGCGCTTCCGCCGAGCCAAGGCCTCTTGCAGGCAGCAAAAGCCAGATGCTGACTGCAGTGCAGTAGGGCCCAGATCTGGCCACCGTCGCTGCCCACAAACCCTGACTCCCTGCACCCCAGCACTGAGAGGAAAGAGCTGGCACCGGGTGAGAGGTCGCCATGGGTGTCATCTGCCTGCGTGCCATCACAACACTGGCCTGACAGGGCCAGAGGCAGGAAGGGAGCCTTGTAGCCAAAACTAAGGAGTCGTCGGGGCAGACGGGAGGCGCTTTTGAGGTGGGCCTCGCTTGCCAGGCGCTTCCCTTCCCAAACAGGTAGAAGATGCCTCACGGCCACCGCACAAAGAAGAAGGGGCCAGCGCTGGGCGAGCAAGGCCCACCTCAAAAAGCGCTTCCCACCAACTCCACGCCGGACTCAGCAAGGCCGAGGGCTGCAAGTCTCCCTTTCCGCTGGCACCGGGCAAGGGAAGGCGAGGCCTGGCGTGCGACCTATCCTTTGCCTGGCAAGAGGGGGTGGACCTTGACCAGCACTGCGCTATCATGAGGGCGAGTGGGAGACTCCCATGGCAGCCTCTTGCCTGACTGTGCACTGGGCCCGCAAGGCTGAGGGCTGCAAGGCTTACTTCCTGCTAGCACCCAAGTAAGGGAAAGTCAGGCCTGGTTAGCTGCACAGCCAACCGCCCACCTCGCCAGGTTTTAAAGTTTGCTAACTGAAGTATCTCTGCCATGCTGAACCCTTTACAATAATACTACAATTATTTATTTGTTTATTTACTATATTTATAAACCGCTTTTATCATTCCTGGGAGGGGGGACTCAGGGCAGTTTACAACATACTGATGGCAGAATTCAATGCCAATACATATGTAAAAATCATAATAACTAAATAATAACATATCACTATGAATTAAAATCATTAATTCATCTCCATCAACATCATCTATTAATATCATCATAACCATATATTATTATTATTATTATTATTATTATTATTATTATTATTATTATTACTTTTTCTGTTTTATTACTACTACTGAAACCATATTTTACCAAAATATATTAGTATATTCTAACACAATATGGTGATGGAATCTCAGTGTGCATGTGCAGTAATACAAAAAACATGTATTAAAACAGTATGAAAAAGTAAATTACAAAAGATATTTCTAGGCAGTGAAGTATTTTATTTCTTGCTGGTATTCAAAAGATATTGGCATAAGTTTTAAATGCTACATGCTAAAGCAAATTGGTTGGATAAGTAGGCACATTTCTACCTACCTGAATAAAGAAATGCGTTGTTACTGGCATAATTCTAGAAAACTCTGTTTTCTCTGAGTAAGATAGATTATTTGATATGATATGAGGCTTATACAAGAATGGGAGGTTGTTGTTAACTGTAGAAAAATACAGTGGTGTGTGTGTATTTTCAAGTTGCCTGTCAATTTATGTTGACTCAATTCATTTCATCAGGTTTTCATTTGCAATGACCACAGAGGTCATTTTGCAGGTTCCTTCCTTTAAAATAGATCCTACAACACCTAGTATTCATGGTTTCCCATTCATTTACTAACCCAGTTGTCCCTACTTAGTTTCTAAGATCAGATGGGATCTGGTGCAGTAGGGCAAATGAATATAGCTCATGGGAGGATGAGAGGTGAAGAAAAAGTGAAAGGAAAGAATACTGTATATAATCAGTAACAAAAAAACCGACCCTCTCTCTTCCCCAAAAAACTGGACTGACTTATCCATGAGTCAGTGTGAGGTACAGTATTAACCTGAACAAACAAATATTTGTTGCTTCCCCACTGTGGGCAGTGTAGAGGGGACTGGTGCTTCTTTTAGGTTTTCCCCGCGATGGACTACATTTTTACCTTACACCACTCCTGGCCTCATATTACTTTTCTACTAATATTTTGCTAGGCAGAGTAGGAGAAGACCTGCGGACCACATTTTTGTGGTCAAAGTAAAGCCAGTAAAATAATTGTTGAACCATACTTAATTGCAATTTCTGGTTCAAAATGGGAGAGTTTGTCACAACAAGCTCTACATATGGAATAAAATGGGAGTATTGAGTAATTGTATATGTGAACAATTAGTAGCAAGGTAAAAGATAGTCCCCTGACATTAAGTCCAGTCATGTCTGACTCTGGGGTGTGGTGCTCATCTCCATTTCTAAGCCGAAGAGCCAGCGTTGTCCGTAGACACCTCCAAGGTCATGTGGCCGGCATGACTGCCTGGAGCGTCGTTACCTTCCCGCCGGAGCGGTACCTATTGATCTACTCACATTTGCATGTTTTTGAACTGCTAGGTTGGCAGAAGCTAGGGCTGACAGCGGAAGCTCACGCTGCTCCCCGGAATCGAACCTGCAACCTTTTGATCAACAAGCTCAGCAGCTCAGTGCTTTACCCCACTGCGCCACCAATTAGTAGCAAGGTAGCGGCTCCAATTAGTAGCAAGGTAGCTGGTAATGAGATGAGAATTCACAGCAATATGGCATTCATCATCATTGGCTATCACTCATGGCTGAGTATGATTGCCATCCAAGTGTAGGGTCTTGGCAGTATGTCCGTAGGTAACTGTAGAGACGTACTCTTGATCCTCATGTTCAGTTGCAATGAGGACATCAATTTCCAGATAGATGGAAGGCAGTTCCAACAAGGGTTGGCTTGACATGCCTTCCTCTTGACACATTTCTTCCTTTTCACTCTCTCTTCGTATCTCTTCGAATTCCACAGCACTATTGGTAACAGATGACCTCCAGTTAGAATCCTCAAGGGTCAAGGCTTCCCAGTTCTTGGTGTCTATGCCACAGTTTTTAAGGTTAGCTTTAAGCCCATCTTTAAATCTCTTTTGCTGTCCACCAACATTCTGTTTTCTGTTCTTGAGTTGAGAGTAAAGTAACTGCCTTGGGAGATGGTGATACCCGAATATGGCATTAACATCAAAGCAAACTCGCAATCACCATGTTATGTGACAAATGAAAGGCCATCCCTTAGTTTTGGGTGCGGGAAGAAATGGCGTTCTCACATGACTGATTACCCCGCTGTAAAAATATAAGGGTTTCATATGACAGAGATCTGACCCAGACTATAGATCTCTTAACAAAAAGAGGGACTAAAGTAGGAGCATAATGTGTGTAAGTATGCATGCCACACACTTGACTGTGTCATAGAATTTTATGTGTATAGTGCAAGAGTCAGAGAAGTATTATGGCATTCTGCTCCCTTTTTGTGCCCCCCCCCCCATCACCTACACTTCCTGAGGAAGCAGTAAGCTTATTCTTTCATATTACTTTGGTAGTGAAGCAGCATAAACGTCAACCTGAAATGTAGAAAGGTGTTCTTTTTCTTAGCCCAGCATTCTGTTCCGTAGCACAGTAATAAAAAATTACAATGGAAAATTGAACTAGGGTAGCAGTTTGTTGAAGTGGGAAATGCAATTAATTATTGTAAGTTGGGAGGCTTTTGAAAGCCTCTTGTTAACTTAAATTAGCAATAGTGGCAATGTTAAAGTTGAATTCAAAATCAGGACAACTTGACATTGGTGAAGCAGTGTATTGAAATGAGGAGCAATGCATTTTTACAAGTCTGGGGACTGCTTTTCTCTTCCAATAAGCAATCAATCAGATGAAGATAAAAAAGGGAAAAATGTTTCCCATGCCTCACAGCACTTCTTGGCTAGCGAACTCTGGGTTGCTGTGATCATTTCACCAAGAATAATCAGTTCCAGCTTCTCTAAGGAGACTTATAGCTGCATTTTGTGCTGCTGTCACTGTGTTTGTGTCACACCAAAAGATCACATAAGTAGTTTTAAATTTAAAATCCTAAAGTAAATCAAAATTAATTAAATACTTAATCTTTATATAAGAATTATTGAATTAATGCAACCCTCAATAATAAATAATGTAATACTGAATTATTTAGTAAATGTAATATTGATAAAATGAAAATGATTTAATGAAATAAAATAATGCAACAAGCTAAATACATTGAAAAATATATATAGCCCTCAACAAATTCCCCAAGTTTTTGCTGATCTCAGCACAGTTGCTAGGTTGTGATTTAATGTAAAAAAAAATCCTCTTTTAAGTGTTATGGGGCCTTCTCAAATGGAAGGGACAATGTTATAGGAGCTGCTGGGAAAATGCTGAGGAAATGGAGGTCAACATCCCTCGGAACTAGATGTAGGCATCTTCTTTAATGTTCACAGAATGCAGATATATGCTATATATTCTATCCTGCATGTTTGAAAACAGTTTTTTTTTTAAAAAAAATGAAAAACCCAAAAGCTCAGTGTTTTTTTTTGTTTGTTCTGGATACCACAATGAAGATACCAAGTTTAAGGACGAAAAGTAAAGACAAATTTTTGTGGATGATGCACCTCAGAGAGGGGGTCAGAACCATAAGTTGTCCCATACTCTTCCTCTCTCCTTTTGCTGCTGTACATCCAAAAAGGTTATAAATAAAACAATGTTTTCATTTACACTATCTTATTGTATGTTTATTGTGTGAACAATAATTTTGCTTTTAGGACATAGATAAGATTTCTATGAAAGTAACTGCATTCTGATATGTATGGATTAGTTTGCTATTTTCCCTCAATAAATACAAAATACATTTTATGTTGGGGTTTTTTTTGTACACTGTAAAACCATTAAAACACATCCATTAGGCAGATATATCTTGAAAATGGGCCAAACTAAATGGATAAGGGACAGAGATTCTGTAGATGGTCTTGCATTAAGGAAACTGCTGAAGGATATAACTTTAATTGTTTAATTGCTTATGTATTCATTGTGTGAGGTTTTATACTATGGAATTTCTGCCTTATAGCCATGCTTTTCTATTTGCTTTAGTTATTGATTGTGCCTCTATAATAGAAAACCTTGCAGATCCTTTATCTAGCTATCTACTTCTATATAGGCCATTGAGCATTTAAGAGCCTCCGAACCTAGTAGCCTTGCTTAATTCAACCACTGCTTGTTAATGTTCATTGTTGCTTTCTTAGATTTATTTTCATACAATTTTGTGCATCTTAGTCTTACAGATAGCTCTTAAATGTGAACCTTAACTTATTTGGAGATCTGTTTTAATATAGAGTCACTTCTCCACATTCGCTGGAGACCCCATGAAAAAGCACAAGTAAAACAAACAAACATTTTTTTAGCTGAGAGGACACTTTTCTAGGAATATCTAGGTCCTCCAGCACAACTCTGTAGTCAATTTTTAGCTGAAGTTGACCATAGAATCCTTGACCGTATAATCCTTCTGTTCTCCCTAGGAATCCTTTTGAAGTCCTCCAGTGCAACTTCTGGTGAAAATAGCCCATAGAGCTCCACTGGTGGACCTAGATATTCCTAAATAAAACATGTTGAGCAAATCTGTAAATAAAGAAATGTGCAAATATGGAAGGCCAACTGTATAGTGCTTGCAGAAGTATTTATATCCCAGCTTTGATTTTTCCCACCTTTTCTTGTGTTGAAATTAGGAAGTGACATTAGTTTAATTGGCATAGGTTACCACTTACTGTATACAAGATCCTCAATACTTTGAAGGTGCAAAGTATCTTTGTAGTGTACACATTAAATATACAAAACCAAAGTGGTACTTGATAGTTGTATGAACATTGTGTTGTTGAAGGCTTTCATGGCTGGAATCACTGGGTTGCTGTCAGTTTTCCAGGCTTTATGGCCATGAACATTCTCCCCAACCTATTAATCCTTGGGAGAAGCACCTTTAGCAGCAGTTCCAGCCATGAGTCTTCTTTGGTAAGTCAACTTTGTGCATCTGGATTCTGTAATTTATATGCATACTTGGCAAAATCGCTCTTCCTCTGTTCTGTTGGATTGGACTCTTCATGATTAGCCACTTTTAAATCCTGTAGCAAATTCTTAATCAGATTGAAGTTTGTGTTTCTACCTGCCCATTCTAAGACATTCATATTATTGATTTGAAATCCCTCTACCTTGATGGCATGTTTAGAATTGTTGTCCTGCTTAAAGGTAGACCTCTACTCTAGTTTCAAGTATCTTGTGGACTGAAACAGATTTTCCCTATGATTGCAGTGTAATTGGCTATATCTCTGTTGTTCTTAATTTGGACAATTTCCCCTTTTCTTGCCAAGGAAGAGCATTTCCACAACATAATATTGCAAAAATCACACATTAGTATAGAGGTGATGTTAGCCTGAGAATGAGAACTGCTGGCACTGTAGCACGTGTAGTGTTTCTCAGAAAAATTTAAAAAATCAGTTTTTGTCTCATCAGATGAGGAGAGCTTTCACCGCCTGTTCTTTTTCTCAACATTCCTTTTTGCAAAAGTCAAATATGGATTTATTTCAACAATGACTTCTTGCCACCATTGTATAAACTCAGATTTGTGGCGCATCCAGCTGATAGTTGTGTCATGGAAGATTTCATTGTTTTCCACAGCAGATTTCTCTAGCTTCTTTAGAATTGTCATTGACTTCTTGGTTGCTAATACCCTTTTTACCTTGTCACTGAGCTCTGGTGGATTCTTTATGCTGTTAAGCGATACGTTTTCCATTTTGTAATAATTTATTTAATGGAGTTCCAAGAATTGTTCATAGTTGAGATTGTTTATAATTGACTCACAGTTGGTATTTCTGCACAACCTTGATTTCATCTTTTTCTTTGTAAGGCTGGTTGTGTTCTTTAACAAATACTGCAACCTCTCAAAAGGCAGTGACTTTAATTTGAGATTTTATGGAACTGCACATGTTAAGCTACTACTTTGATTTCTGAGGCAGTAGGTTGCACCAGATCTTATTTAAGTTGCCAAAATTAAACAGATCAATACTTATGCTAGCGTATTTTATGTGCTTAACGTTTGTGCCACACTATAAAAAATATTTGGCAACTTCGTAGTGTTGATTATCCTGTTTTCATTATTAGTTAAATTCATTTCAGTTCCAGGTAATGCAACGGAATGTGAAAAAATCAAATGGAGATGAATACTTCCACAAGGCATTGAACTACTATTGGGCAGTATGGGAAATTAAATTATTGGTGTAAATGTTGCTTTCCTGTAAAATAAGTAACAACATTTGGGGGGGGGGGAGGAATCCGACCCTGGTTTGAAAGTATTATTTCTTGTTTAATTTTGTGGTACTTACTCCAGAAACCTCGTTTTTGTGGCTGACAGAAACTATGTTGAATTAGCTTGAATATGAGATATTCATTGAAAAGCTATAGCAAAATGTGCTGTAGGATGTCCTGCAAAAACAAAGTTTTTCCAGTTTAATAAACCTTTTCCATGTTTTTATGATAGAACTAAGTAGGAAATGACATTTATAACCCAGGAACAAAAGTAGTATTACATAGTGTAATCAGTGTAAATAACACAGACACATTTTTTTGTTTTTGTTGGAGTTGTAACCTGTTTGCTAAAATACTATATCAATTTAAACAAAATGAAATAATTCATCATTGGAAATAATGTGTATGGTTCAGTTTCTTAAAAATAATGTAAGAGTCTGATGGATCTTTTGGAATGGAAGGTGTTACAAAATTGTGAGATTTAATCTCATTTTGGAATTATTTTCTTGATGGTATTATTTCTTTATTTTATAGGAGGTGCTGAAGCAGCTGCAAGGAAGCATTGAAGATGAGGCAATGGCATCTTCTGGTCAGATAGATTTACTGGAGCGTCTTAAAGGTAAAGTTGGAGGAAGGTTGTAAACTTGTTAAGTAAAATTGATCCCTCTAGAGAACTCCTTATGTGAAACCAGGGATGCTTAGTTATAAAACATTCAAGCCAGGGGAGTAAGGATATGGGCCATCTGCCACTTATTGGCCAAGGATGCAGCCATCATCACAGATCCTCGTGATGCTACTGGGAAACAGGATTCACCTTGTTTTCTGCAATTGTAGTGGGCTGTTGGGAGAGTGTTCCTTCTAGGAAATAAGGCATGTATTTTCGGAACATCACTTTCCACATGGCAATTTCTGTTATTTTTGTGGTGACAGAAATTTTGGTAGTGGGATTTACATTGAGACAGTCATGATATTGCACATTACCTCTTTCAGCTTGAACAAAGCTGAAGTTCTTTTGCTGGGAAGAAAGTGATATAACATTTTATCACATCATATTTAAAATTTGATAGAATAGTGAAGGACATGGTTAAAGAGTGCACAGGGGTTCTGGGCCATAGATGTCTAGTTGTCTGTCTCTTTCTACATTAACAGTAAGTCCCACTGTCCATTTATTACAGTGAGAAAAAATGTTCCATTTGTTTATTATCGAAATAAAAAGTAATGTAAGAAATTAAAGTATTAAAGGACTTCTTGCTAACATTTCTAAGCCCTAATTGATCCAACTCTCTGTTTCTGTTCAGAACTGAACTTGGACAGCAATAACTTTCCTGGAGTGAAGTTAAGGCCAAAGATATCTATGCGTTCATATGGAAGCAGGGAAGGATCGGTCTCTAGTCGATCAGGAGAATGCAGTCCTGTTCCCATGGGATCATATCCCAGAAGAGGCTTTATGAATGGAAGCAGAGAGAGCACTGGTTATTTAGAAGAATTAGAGAAAGAGAGGTAATATTTTTATCCTAGATATGTCTTATGCATCAGCTTAAGAACATATAACAAAATACACCTGGTTTCAAAAGAATTTTTCTCCCTTTGTTAGAGAGTGGAAAAGACAAAAAAATTGCTCAGGGACAAAGAGGACCTGAATGCCCTAAAGGCACCAGATCCTGTTGATTTTGGAAGTTAAGCAGGGTCAGCTTCTGATTAATACTTACCTAGATGAGAGACAATAGACATTAAGTAAGTGGTTCTCAACCTGGGGTCCCCAGATGTTTTTGGCCTACAACTCCCAGAAATCACAGCCAGTTTACCAGCTGTTAGGATTTCTGGAAATTGAAGGCCAAAAACATCTGGGGACCCCAGGTTGAGAACCACTGCATTAAGTGCTATAGGCAAGACTAATTCTGCATAGTCTTCATCTAAGAAAATTATATGAAATCTGTGGTGTTGCAACAAGTCAGCAGGTGACCTGACAGCACATACATACACAAATGCTTACACAAATTTGGGAATGTATGTTTAAACTAAAGTTGCATTCTTGAAGATCTCTTCAGAAATTAGTTTAGATGCATGGCAGGAAGTGTGTGAGTCATAGTTGTGATCATTGATTTCCCTGTAGAACAACAGAACTCAACTACTGGGTGAATTTGCATGTGGTAGAAATACCATATATACTCATGTATAAGCTGAGAGCCAATTTTGGGGCCAAAATTATGAACTTTAATATGACCTGTGGATAAGTTGAGGATCATTCTGCAGAGAAGGGAGAAAGCCAATGCCACTTGAAAGGGCCAGCCACCCAGCCGCTATCACCATTCCTTCCTTCCCCAGCATTAAAAATGGCAAAAGCAGCACCATGGCAGAGTGTTGAAGTTGTCAGTGCTTCTTTTCAGTTCCCCCTGGAATGGACTAAGCTCTTGTCTTTTGCCACTCTACTCAGAGAAGTGAATGATTCCTTTTTTTATAAGTGTTAAAATTCAGTATATACGTTGACCCATGGAAAATTCTACTCATGTTTTTCATCATTAATATCATTAATTTAATTGAGACTGTTTAGAAATATGTGTATGTTTTACAGCTGTCAGATTTTTTTTATCTTAATTGCAAATATGAAGAGTTTCAACCAAAGGTAAGCATTCATGAACAACAGATCTATTCTTATGCAATACAGCATAAATCAGATTTCACCCAATTTAACCTTGTTTCCTTGATTTCATAAAGACAAACATATAAAACAACATGCCATCCACTATGTGTAGGGTGCTTTGATTCTCAGAACAGTATTTTCTGGTGTTTTTTGAGTGTTCAGAGAAGATGACAGGAATCAAATAAGGCTCAGTGCACTCTTTGCTCACACTCACAGCTTGGGATCCAAGCTGTGAGTTGTAAAAAATGGACAACATGTGGCATTTACTTTTTCTTTCTGCATTGCAGTAATAGCATCAGCCAAGAAGAGCTAGTCACAAAATGGTGACTTGGGTAGAATTTACAATGAATCTTGTGTATTGCAAACCTGGATATTTATATGTATGTATGCAAGTATAAACATCAGTAGAACTTAAATTTTACAATAGGCAGGCCAATTACAATAGTTCCTTCCCTTTCCCCCAGCAATGTCTGTGGTTTATATTCATTTATATTCATATTTAAGCTTATTCCTAATCACAGATAAATTGCTTAGGCTGCAGGTGTCCAAGCATTAATGTTCTGTTGAATTCAGAGGTGATTACTTCTGAATTAACATGTTTAGGATCACACTGTTAATTTATCATAATAAAGTAAAGGTAAAGGTTTTCCCCTGACATTAAGTCTAGTCATGTCCGACTCTGCGGATTGGTGCTCATCTCCATTTCTAAGCCAAAGAGCTGGCATTGTCCATAGACACCTTCAAGGTCATGTGGCTGGCATGACTGCATGGAGCGCCGTTACCTTCCCGCCGGAGCGGTACCCATTGATCTATTCACATTAGCATGTTTTCGAACTGCTAGGTTGGCAGAAACTGGGGCTAATAGCGGGAGCTTATTCTGCTCACCGGATTTGAACCCGCAACCTTTCGATCAGCAAGTTCAACACCTCAGTGTTTTAACCCACTGCGCCAAATGTATGTGTATCATATGCATACATTTAATACTTGGGAGATGGCAAGAATATACTTTTTGGCTTTAGGATTTTCTCTCCCATTGTTCTAGAACCTAGGTCCTTTGTTGTTGTGTTTTTGCTTTTTTATATCCCAGTATATCCCTGTTAATGTTGGCATGTAAGATTTGGCTTCTTGTTTAGTGTGTTCAGCCTGTCAGAGTCACCTGATGTATATCTGTTCGAATAATTAATAAACTATGTTTAATACCTTTGAAAAGTCTGTACTAAAGATATAATATAAAACCAATAAAATATAAGTCTATACTGAATTTAGCTTCTCAGTACTTCTACATTTTGGTGGATAGTTGTTTAGAGAGAATTTTTATAGACACAGACAAGTTGAGTTGAAGGGGCCAAAAGAACAATTATAATTCAGTACGCTGCCAGTGCAAGTATCTGTAGGTACAGCATCTTTGTGTAGTGGCCATTCAACCTCTGTTTACAGACTTCTAGCAATGGTGAGTTCACCACCCTTGGTGATACTCTGTTCCACTGCCAAACAGTTTTTACTATCAGGAAATTCTTCTTAATCTTTCTAGTGATTTTCATCCATCAGTCTGGAATCTGTATCTCGGAACAGAAGAAAACTAACTTGCTCCAACTTTCACATGACACTCTATAAAGTTTAAATATTTAAAGCTGTCTTTCATATTACTTCACAGTCTTCTTTTCTCAACAGCACAAATATTGGGTACAAGAGTGGACAACAAACAGCCAACAGAGAACTCCATTTTTATCCTTGTTCTGCTGCTCTGGCTGCCAGTCCCTGACCCTTTGTGCTCCTTAACCACCAGCAAATCTTCTTTCTGGTCCTTCTGTTCCAGAATTCTGATAGAATGCGAGATGTAACCAGTGTTCCAGACCTAGTTACTCCCTAGTTCTTTTAACTAGTTGGTTAAAAGTAGCTTTGTTGTTTAGCTGGGGATGGTACTTATTGGGACAAGAAATAAATGCCCTTCCTTAAACAAAGACTCTCACTATAGCAAAGGAAGAATCAACCAAATCATCAAATTTCTGTCCAGCCCAAAATAATATCATCCATTCACTCTTGCAGTGTCAAACCAAGATTATAAATGTGATTCCAAAGCAGGCAGCAAGAAAAATACTGCTTCCAGCTTCATTTCCTCATCTGGAACCACAGGAAGGCTAGTCTTTCCCATAACAGCTCTCCTGAATAACAACAGTATGAGGGGGTTGCTTTACACACGTTTAGGACAAAACACAGGATTTCCTCACAGTCAACAGCTATTGAGACAAAGGGCTATATATTCAGTACCAGCAACGGATATCAGCTTGGCCATTTCCTCTATATTTGTCTTAGTTCCATAAGAAGGGTGGGGGCAGTGAAATTTCAGTAATTCTGAATCTGAAGCATCCACTAACCACATAAATAATGTTTCAAGAGAAAATCAAAATGGAATCAACTCTAACAAGGAGAGTTTGTGGCGCATATAAATCTTGCAGATATACACCGGTGTGTCAATATCAAAGAATCCCACTAGAAACAACTTCAAATACCATTTCAAAGAAGAGTGGGTGTGAAGAGATAAGATAAGACCCTACATTGTTGATATCGCTTAACTGGCCAAGATAGTCACAAGATGCAGCGGCCTCTGGTGTCAGAATAGCTATGCTATTAATTTTTTCCAGGAAGCAAGATATTCAAGCCACTGACAGAAAAGTTAGAGCCCCATCAATGGGCCAATGTGAGAAAACTGCAGTTTGGAAACAGGAACAAGTGCCCTATAGGAGCCTTGACAAAATGGGCTGCCCTTTGAGTCCCACTAAATCCAGTCAGTCAGAAGATCAAAAGGGACTTTTATAAACGTGATGCCTAATGACTGCCATTGCAACTGAACATGCCACTCTAAGATCACTAAGGATTGCTCAAGATGACATGTTACTGTATGGTCAGGTCCTCTGTCCTCAGTTGGAAATCTTCCAGTTAACTGAAGTTAACTGAAGTTATTTTGTTGACACGAATAGAATATACAAAAGTGATTGTGAAAACCTTGTTGATGTTCTGGATACATCAGGATATAATGCATGATCATTTCTAATGTGATCAAAGAGAAAAATATATGACCAACAGTATGAGTAAAACATGTGCTTGTATATCATTAAAAGGAAAATCTCATTATGAAATAGTGTTTTGGGGTGCAAAAGGAGTAAGTGTACATCCTGTCACCACCTGAAAAGGTTTCATAAAAAGCATGGCACTTCTTAACGCTCAGATGGTATGCTGTTTTCTGACTTCAGACCTCAAGTAGATTCTGACAGCTCCAGTAGGTAAACTGAGTCCATGACAAAGCACGCCTTTGGTACATGCTGCGGACTAGTTCCAGGATCCGCCCATGGATACGTAAATCTACATATGCCCATTATATACAATGGCATAGTAAAGTGGTGTCCTTTACATGAAATAGCAAAAATTAAAGTTTGCTTTTTTAAATAAATATTTTCAAGTAATGAATTGTTGAATCCATGGGTGCAGCATCTGTGGATACAGAGGACCAACTGTATGTGTTACGTTTGGTTATTCTCAAGACGATATTCCTCATTGCACCACCTTCGTGCACTGAGTCTTGGAATTCAAAGCACTATTTAAACAACATTGAGGTGGTTCTTGTTTTAGCTCCTCATTTGCACTCAAAGTGAATTCCTTGTTCCACAGGCTAAATAAAATTTGCTGTTTTATTTTTGAGAAAAAAACAATTTGTTCTAAAGAATTGAGCTGGCATAAATGTATATTGTGCTCATTTTTAACAGGATATAATAACAGAGCATCCCGAATTTGTTGAATCCCTTAAAACCAAAGGACTAGAGACTCAAATATAATTGGCCAAAAAGCATGTTTTTTAAGAGTAGGTGGCGCAGGCAGTAACCACATATTACCTGTTACTATGTTGAAAGTAACCATGACTTGTATTTGCTACAGTTTACAAAGATTAGACATTTGGCTATGATCCCTTATCTGGAGCCAACACACTGATTACTTTGCAGGCCTCTCCTCTCAAATAGAGTAAATTAGCATTGCTGAATGTGAGTGAATGCAGTCTTCCATTCACACCTCAGGACTCCTTTTTAGGATGTTGGATATTAAAACACTCCCTCCTTCCTAAATTGGACTTGGCCCGATCCTCCAAAACTCTAGTCAAGGATGTGTGGCAAAACATTCAACATTATAGTATAATGTTGTTATGAAATCAAAGCCCCCACAGTTTCAGATCCAGCCTTCTATTAGTTCAATCTGAAGCCATAGCTGTGGGTAATACAATAAAAGCAAAAGGGCAGGAATGCTGTTAACAAGGATAGAAAATCAATTCAGTGGGCTCCCCTATATGTACTAGGACCAGAGAAAGAACATTCCCACCTGGGTCCCTTACTATTATTCATGTTGTTGTGTTTTCAACTCATGGCAGTCCCTGGGCAAATCTACTTCAGGGCTTTCTTGGCAAGATTTGTTCAGGGTGGTTTCCTTTTTCTGAGGCTGAGAGAGTGTGACTTACCCAGGATTACCCAGTGGGTTCCCATACTTGACCTGTGATTTGAAGCCTAGTCTCTAGAGTGGCAGTCCAGCACTCACACCATTACACCACTCTGGCTCTCAGTCCCATCACTAAGAGATCTCCAGTGCCTGGCCTGTAGTATAGCTGTGCAGTTTTCTGGGCTACCAGTAGCTGCAGTAAAGAGAGGTGGCTTGCCTACCTCCTCCCACGCTCTCAGGCAGAGTGCAAAGGAAGTACTAAAACAATGGACTAGAAGGATGAGCTTTCAGGGTGTTGTCTTGCAGGTTTTCTTTTTCTGTTTGCAAAAGGTATTCTCCATTCATCTTTCTGATATCCTCTTTTCCAATCACTTTCAATATAAAACCTACTCAAATACCTGAATGGCATGGCATACTGTTTGGAATGCTTTTTTGGATATACTATTTTCTAGGAAAGAGAGATCGCGTTGCAGTAAAAACAAAGGTCATCACCTTAAAAGCTAACAAATATACTTTAATATATGCAGTCATGGTGACCAGCCCACATATAAATATGCCTTATTTTCTTCTCTCTCTTTTGGACTGGACCCCCCCCCCCCCCCCCATTTTTTAATTATTGGACAGGGAAAGATGAATGTAAATATTTCCTCCTTATGACAGTGTGAGCTGTGTCTCTGCCCTTCATAAATATTTCACTGTGTGGGACTAAGGGGATAGTCTGGACACACAAATTGCTTTGCATGCTAAATGGAGTTTTGAAATACAGTATGTTCTTTTCACAGCCCACCCCTGTGCTACATTGCTTTTAAAGTTCCCCTGAGTTAAAAAAAAAAACAAAAACCAGCAACTGTCATATGGCATAAAGAACACAAAAGGTTTCTTGGGCACACACAGCCTGATTCTTTAGATCCTGGCTGTTAATAAAATTGCATTCCCATTATTGAAGAAGTTTAATCGTTAGCAGGAAAGGATAACTTACTACATTTTCATCTCAAAAATATTCAAGATGTTTCCAATAGTGGATTCTATATTCTAAAGCTGTATATGTTTGGACTAGTGTCTAGTCATTGTTCCTCTTTCTTCACTCTTACACAAACATATTTTCTATGTTCTGAGCTAGTTAAATCCTTCTTTAAAAATCTGATTGATTCACTTGTGTGTTATTTCATATCAGAATCTGTGTCAATTTAAAAACATTTTCTTTAAAATAAACTTTTTGCTTTTGCTCTTCTGCATGGTGAAACTACTGCCTTTAAATCCGGATGAAATGACAGAAAACAGGGGAAATGCTAGATGTGGTTTTTGTATATGGTTGGGAATCTGTGTATCTCTTTTCTGAAATGCTTAAGACCAGAAGTTTTCCATATTTCAGATTTTTGTTTTGAAATAATTGCATATACTTATATATAATGAGATACCTTTGAAAAGAGTCCCAAGTCTAAACATGAAATTAATTTGTTTCATGTACACCTTGTACAGATGAATACAATCTTTTTTGAATAATTTTGTGAATTAAACAAAGTTTGTGTATGCATATATTACGCCATCGGAGAACAAAGGTAGCACTATCTCAACCACCCATGTGAATTTTGAAATTCCAGATAAGTGATACTGAACCTATACTTGTAAAGCACTAATTACCCAGAAATAAGAGACAAATTACCATTGTGCCTTCAAGTTGCCTGTCAACTTATGGGGATTCCATTAATTTCATAGAGTTTCCTCAGGCAAAGAATGCCTTGGCCAAAAAGAAATGGTTTTTCTAGTTTCTTTATTGCTTATTGCACCTGGTGTTCAACCTAAATACTCTAAGGGCAACAAATTCCATTTGGAAACAAAGCAAAATCATTCTCTGGTTCATACTTGGAGGGAAGCTAGCCAATGAATTCCAAGTGGGGTGGGCTATATTTCACAGGAAGGAATTGACGAAATCATCTCTGAGTATTTCTTGCCTAAGAAAGTCCTGTCAACTTAAAGGGATTGCCATAAGTTGACAGGTAATTTGTAGGCACGCGTACACACCTACCTGGTATTCACTGGCACCCTGCTGTCAAAGTACTCACCAGAATTGACCCTGCTTATTTTCCAGGGTCATAGGAATCTCGTGTCTTTAGAGTATTTAAACCTAATATTATTATAAAGAATAAATAAAATTTAAGATAATTAACATTGAAGATGTGTGCCCTTTTACAGCATTTAAACTGATTCTGATTTAACTAAGAGTGTTGATTTTTATTTTCACAGTGTTCTTGCATAGAAAGACACTAATGGTATTGTTCCTTCAGTTTTCTCTGCAGTAGAAAATTCTTAAATATATCTGGTTGGAAATACATAGTTGTGGCATGGCATCTATTTTTCTTTTCTTTCTGGATGTAGAAATTGAGTGATGTGTAGAATGTTTTGCTACCAATAACCATCAGGTCAGGAGTCAGGAAAGGACTCTTGGAGAGCTGAACCATATTTCAAATGCATAGGCTAAACAAGTGAAAAAATTATGACTTAAGTTCTCACAGCTAATGCAATATGATTGTGTTTTGTTCATATAGATCTCTCTTGCTTGCTGAGCTTGAAAAGGAAGAAAAAGAAAAAGACTGGTATTATGCACAACTTCAGAATCTAACTAAAAGGATAGATAGTCTTCCCCTTACTGAAAACGTAAGTAATAATAGTATCAGCATTCTATCTCATACAAGTATTGTTTTCGGAATCTCTGCTTTTCAGTCTTTTTTAAAATGCTTTATCTTTTATGCAAAGGAACACACGGACTTCCTGTGAATTGTTTAAAAATGAAAACTTGCATAGTTCTACCAGCTAAAACAGTGTTTCTCAACCTTCCTCATGCTGCGACCCCTTCCTCGTGTTGTGGTGACCCCCAACCATAACATTATTGTCATTGCTACTTCATAACTCTGATTTTGCTACTGTTATGAATCGTAATGTAAATATCTGATTGCAGGGTGCATTTTCATTCACTTGACCAAATTTGGCACAGACACCCGATACGCCCAAATTTGAATACTGTTGGGGTTGGGGAGATTTTGTCATTTGGGAGATGTAGTTGCTGGGATTTATAGTTCACCTACAAACAAAGAGCATTCTGAACTCCACCAGTGATGGAATTGAACCAAATTTGGCACACAGAACTCCCATGACCAACAGAATACTAGAAGAGTTTGGTGAGCATTGACCTTGAGTTTTGGCATTATAGTTCACCTACATCCAGAGAGCACTGTGAACTCAAACAATTATGGGTCTGGACCAAACTTGGTGGAGGTTGCGGGAAATAGGGAATTGTAGTTGCTGGGATTTATAGTACACCTACAATCAAATAACATTCTGAACCCCACCAATGATAGAATTGGGCCAAACTTCCCACACAGAACCCCCATGCCTTGAAGGGTCTCATTAGCGGGATGCGCCCTCCAGCCTCGCACGCTCTCCCTCACCCATGCATGCGCACCAAACTGCCATGCTCTGAGCATGCCTGCTGACCCCTCCCTGCTTGGAGCCTCAGAAACAGCCCTCTAGTTGGCCGAGTGGCCGCCTGAGAGGCCAGCCAATCATAGTAGAGGAGTACTTTTGGTGGGAGGATTCGTAGTCTTGTTTCCAAAAAGGAAGAGAAAGCAGAACCCCTCTGCCAAAGGGGTTCCTAAGACCATCAGAAATATATGTTTTCTGTTGGTCTTTGGTGACCCTTCTGAAACCCACTCACGACCCCGCCCTCCGGGCTCTCGACTCCCACATTGAGAAACACTGAATTAGAGCTAATTTACATTAGAATATGCATATAGAAGTAATAATATTAATAATTTTATTTCTTGCCTATTTCTCCTCATGGCTTGAGGCATTGTTAAAACACATAATCATTTAAAAACACTTTGTAGAATGCACATATTAAAACATATTTCCATAAAATACACATTGAAATACACAAAACAAAAATTAGACATAAAATGGAAGTTTAAAATTTGTCATTAAACCTTTCTGAGTAGTACTACACTATTTGACCCATTCCCATCCATCCATTCCACATAGGAAGTCTGTACTTCAGAATTCTTTCCAGCCATACACAATACATAATTACCAGTTCTTTGGTAATACTTGTGTTTTCTTAAAATAACATTGCTTCTAAGATTTATCTATCAAGAAGTTGAAGATCCAGAATAGTATTGAATCTGAAGAATTCCAATTCTAGAGTATACCAAACTGGGCTATGCCTAATGTGGTTTATAAATTTCAAAGCTGATTGGTCTACATACATGCATCCTTTTAAAAAAATAATATAGGATGTGACTTATGGATTGCTATGTAAAAGATGCTAATCTTGATTTTTATAATCTTACTGTTAAATTTTAGAATGAAATATTGACTTTGTGTCACAGCATTTCTTTGTTAAAATTACAGCAACACACTCAATATAACACAAACACTCAATACTAATACTACATCCTGTAGGCTGCTCCTTTCCTACATTTTCCTAAATCCTAGATTAATGAAAGATAAGAAGGAAAGAATCAGTATGAGTGATGAGCAAATTGTTTCTCTGGGAGGGTATCCTCTTTTTTTTTCTTCCATCCTGCAGAAATGAAGGGAAAGGCAGGCTTAGCAGTGGATAGATATGTGAATGGTACACTATTGTATTTATGGGAGGGAAATTATAAGGTCCACACAGGGGTCATAAATATTTTACTGTCTATAGATTTTCTTTGATGAATGGCTTTTTCTGTGTGATAATAATTTTCAAATTATGATAATTAGGTCTGCCTTTCTAAATTCCTTGTTTAGGCAGTATGAATAGAATGTCAGGCATATAATTGATTGGAATTGCTCTGTTTTTTATTTCATTTTTTTCTTTTGTTCCCAGTTCTCCTTGCAGACAGACATGACTAGAAGACAACTGGAATATGAGGCAAGGCAGATTAGAGCTGCCATGGAAGAACAGCTTGGCACTTGCCAGGATATGGAGAAGAGGGCACAGGTAATTATGTATAAAGGTTTTGCCAAAATTTAAAGATTGGAACCATCTGCCAATGGAACAAAAACAACAGAATGAAAGCAGTGCAAAATAATAACAACTACAGCCTAAATGCTTTGCAGTGGAAACCTGCCCTCCACTGCAGCCATGAAGACCATGATCATTTCAGGAGAGATAGAGAGAGAGAGAGAGAGAGAGAGACTGACTTTTTGGTAGGTGTCCTTAAGACTCTGGAACTCCTTTCCCAAATTGCTCCCTCTTTGTTGTCCTGCTGGCAGGCTAAAACCTTTTTATTCAGACAAGATTTTAAAACAAACTTTTAATCTAATTCCTATATATATTTAAGTATAATCCTTTCGTAGGCTGAAAAAGTGTGAGCTTCAGATCTCTCTCCAGCTATCTCTTGAAAAAAATCACACACTAGTAAAGGGTATAATTTCTGAGAAGGCTTTTTCCATGACTCTTTGGTCCTGGTTCTACAATTTAGTGATGCAGGAGAAGTGTCCTTGGTTACATCATTCTGCAATTCTCCCATAACTGTGTGAAGGACAGTTAACATTCACAGGGCCATTTATGCTGAATTCCTCAGTACTGTCTAGCAACATCCCAAAAATAACAAAAATTCATCAGCCCAAGATCTGGTTAGGCTGCAACTCCCATCAGCTCCAGTTCTAAGTGGCTGGAACTTTCATCAGCCCGAAATCTGACTGGGCTTCAACTCCCATCAGCCCCAGTTCTAGCTGTGGTGTAATTTGCAGCTCTTCTCTTAACTGGTCAGATGGCTTAGCCTTGATGGGGTGTAACTCCCATCATCCCCAGCCAACCTAGTGAAGGGATAAGAATGTTGGGAGCTGTAGCCTGGAAAGTAAGGTGAACCATCTGATCGGTTAGGAAGAGAATCTTACCTGCGGTCATGTGTAAGAAGCGCACGGCTCTCTGGGCATGGCTGGACTCCAAATCCCATCATCTTTTATCACTCTCCCCCAAACTCTGCCAGTATTTTAAGCTGGACCATGATGGCAACATGTTACAATTACACAAAAAAGTTACAAATGGCTTAATGAGTTATCAAGTTTAGCTAATCATTTTGAGCCAGAAACAAATCTACAAAATACCTCAGCAAATGGAGAATATCTAATTTGCCTTATGTTATGAGGTTGCCATCTTGCGAATGAGCAGAAATCATTTGAAACTATGCCCTGCCCTTTCAAGTGGTAAGGGTTTTATTCATAGGCGGTCCATGGTTGCAGAGATATAGTGATTTCAAATCAGGGTACATCTTTTTGAAACACTCTATATATTGAAACATAACCCATGTAAAATTATTTTAGCACACCCCTTAATCATTTAGATTTAAATTAAGAGTATTAAACTCTTGGGCCTAATCCTGGTGATATGTATGGGTTTTTTCCCATTCAATCCCACTGAATTCAATCTGTGCATATGCAAGTATATATAGGATTAAATCCATGAGAATTGACTGCATTTTACATGTGTTAATATGTGGCATACTGGAACATTTCTTTTAAAAAGCAAAGCCACATTTGAAGTGGGAAAATAGCAAGTAAGGGGGGTTGCTTAATTCTTTCAACACATACTTTTCCCTCACTAAATTCCTTTCCTATTCTAGTTGTGTTTTTACATTACATTTAAAACATTGGAGTTTACTGGTATATTTGGAAAAATGAAATAGGCTGTTGGAATTAATCTATTGACGGATACAGGACTTAGTGCTAGAGAAATGATAACCGTTTTGGAGTTCAGGGTAATCTGGCAATACCTATAATCTTTTCGTGCTTTTGATCTCATAGTGTATATTAAGTAGTACAATGTCTAAAACATTAATCATGTGTTATATTGCACGAGAATCCCATATGCTTTCAGTTTATTTTTTAAATTTGACACAAACAGCTCTGTTCAACTGATTATCTTTTGTCATTTCCTCCTTACCTAGCCAATAACAACTTGAAACTTCATTGTTATTTCAGGTGAGAGTGAGCAGAATTCAACAAATTGAGAAAGACATTGTGCGTATAAGACAGCTCCTGCAGTCCCAGGTTGCTGAAGCAGAGGTTAGTCTTTACTTTCTTTCTTCTATTGAGATACTAACATACTTAAACAAAAAGGTTTTTTTTTATTAGGGATAAATAACCAACAGCTTATAATAGTTTCTCAGTTTTGACTCATCCACAGGTGAATAATATTGTGTCAATTCAGCCAAGAAAGCAATTTGTTTTTATGTTTCAGCATTACTATTTATTTGCAGTATTTGTATACCGCCATTCTCAACCCCGCAGGGGACTCAGGGCGGTTCACAGTATTGGCAGCAATCCTGTTACACTTAGTATGAAGCTATTCAGAGCACACTTTAATATGAGCAGTCATTGCAAATCTATAAAAATACCTTAAAATTGTGTTGTCGAAGACTTTCATGGCTGGAATTACTGCGTTGCTGTGAGTTTTCCAGGTTGTATGCCCACTTTAAAATTGTCTCTTGTTGTTACTTCCATCCTTGAAGATATCTGTATTAGTCCCACATAGTCAAGTTTTGTTGCAGAATTCATGAAGTATTAGATCAACAAGGTGTGTGTTTTGTACCACTGCTATTTGAAGGGTTATAAACAATATGCACAAATTTCAGACCCCTTCCAAGTACAGTTTTTTTTTAAAATTAAAAAAAATTGATGGGATAAAATGGTCCAAACAATTTTCTTACATTTGCCTTGGTTACACTTTCTACAATAAGGAGGGCTAACAGCTGCTCATAACAAATATTTCGTCTTCGGGTTTGGATATTGGGCAATACTCTGTGAGTGCACACATACACTTTCCAAGTCGCCTATCAACTTATGGTGACCCCATGACATCAGTATAAGAGAATACAGTTAGGACAGAATATGGAGAAACAAAATGGTTTTCAATTGGCAAGGTACTGAGGTAGGCTGCATTCTATCACCCTATCTGTTTAGCCTATTTCTGAACATGTCATACTGAAAAGCAGGATTAGGCTTGAAGGAAGGAGATGTGAAATTTGAGAAACGAACATCAACATTTTAAGATACGGTGGTAACGCCATGATACTACCTGAAAATAGCAAAGAAAAGTGTAAAGAAACTAGAATGGGTGTCCAAGGAACTTTCAGCTGAGCTGATTTAAAGGAGACATGTACAAGAAATGAAAAAGGGGGGAAATTACCAAAGAGGAATTCAAACAAACAACACATGTAGGGAAAAGATCCGAAAGACACGACTCATAAGTATTTTGGAAAGACTAAAGCACAAAATGAGCTCAAACTTGCCAGAGAAATTAAAAACAATAAAAAGGGGTTCTTTAATTATGTCAACAGAAAAAGGAAAAACAAGAAAACAGTAGGACCTCTGTATGGAGAGGATGATTAAATGCTGATGGGATAGAGAAAAAGCAGAATTACTGAACACCTTCTTTGCCTCAGTTTTCTCCCAAAAGGAAATCAGTATTCAACCTGAGCAATACGTGGCATATGAGGCAATAGGTAAAGAAGTAGTCAAGGAATACCTGACTAAACGAATTCAAGTCTCCAGGGCCAGATGAACTACATCCAAGACTATTGAAGGAACTAGCAGAAGTCATTTCAGAACCACTGGCAATAATATTTTCTAATTCTTGGAGAACAGGAGAAGTCCCAGCAAACTGGAGGAGGGCAAATGTTGTTCCTGTCTTCAAGAAGACACACAAGTACCATCCAGTCAGCCTGACATCAATACCAAGAAAGATATGAAGCAGATCATTAAGGAGGCAGACTGTAGTCACTTAGAAAAGAATGCTGTGATCGCTAAAAGTCAACATGAATTTCTCAAAAACAAGTCATGCCAGACTAATCTTATCTCTTTTTTCAGTAGAGTTTCAAGCTGGGTATATGCAGGGAATGCTATGGATGTGGCATATCTTGCTATCAGTAAGGCCTTTGACAAGGTCCCCCATGATCTTCTTTCAAACAAATTAATAAAATGTGGGCGAGACAATAAAAACTATTAGGCGACCGAATCCAAAGGGTGCTCACTAATGGTTCATCTTCATCCTCGAAAGAAGTGACTAGTGGAGTCCTGCTAGGTTCTGTATTAGGCTTGGTGCTGTTCAATAGCTTTATTAATGACTTAGTTTAAGGTTTAGAGGGTGTGCTTATCAAGTTTGCAGGTGACATCAAATTGAAAGTGATACCTTAATAGGGCTATGCAAAAATCCGGACACGAGTTATAAGTATTTTGGAAAATCTGTACTAGAAAGCACTACCCACCGTCCCACCCGCCACAAATGGTTTAAAACATTCATTTATAAAGATTTTATAAGAAGTTTGTTACTTTTCGTAAGTCACAGTGACTCAGTTTCTTTTTCAGTGCAAGCAAACTCTCCTGGGCAGCACAGCTAAACTTGGTATGTCACATGCTCGCCTCAGCCTATTAGGGCTGAGGGAGAGGGGAAGGGAGCAGATGCTGCTGCATTGCCTTTAAATGCAGGAGCCACGTTGCCTCTGCCGCCATTCTGCAAGTGAGCTGGGAGGGAAATCAGGGGTAGCACAGAAGCTAGGAACTGAATTTGTCGATTCTCGAATGTTTTTGCATGTGCCACGCAAGCTTAGTTTGCCTAGAAGCTTAGGATTCCTTTTAGGATTGCCACATCTGAGCTTAGGATACTTTTTCTTTTCCGGGGGATGGAGTCCAGTTAGGATTCATATGGAGGCGGGGGGGCCTCAAATTTTTTCCCCTTTGGATTTCTTTCTTTTAAAAAACTGCTTTGTTTATTTTAATTCTATTTTAATTCTAGTCTTCTAGTCTAGTCTTCTTGCTTTTCTTTCTATTGGTTTAAAAATATATAGTTCAATTCTGCAAAGTGCAGTGCTTAATTTTCTAAAATCCAAAGTTGCCAGGGGTGTTGCTGTTGCTGCAGGTTCAATATAAATACAAACAGCAAACATATCTTTTGGGGTCAAGTGTGAAGAAGAATTCTAATCTAGTACCATTGATAAACTGAACCAACCTGTTCCATTCTTTCCCCATATTGTGTTACCAAGTACCTTGCTTTCCTTTCTATTGGTTTTAAAAGCATAATTAAATTCTGCAAAGTGCAGTGTGTGCTTTATGTTGTGTCATCGTAGAGAAATCCAAGGGGATAGGTTTTGTGGGTTTTTTATTTTAAAAATGGACAATACTTTAAAAATTCCCTAAAAATTACTAGATGTGCAATTTTTTCTGACACTTGGAAGGAGTGATGCTCTGGCTATGTTGTATCATTGTGGAGAAATTCAAGGAGATAAGCTCTTGTCTTTTTTTAAAAAAAAAATGTTGTTCATAAAAAACCGAAAATTTCCCAAAAATCAGTGGATGAGCAAAATGGTCTGAGACATAGGTGGCTTACAGTGGTAAATGTGTGCTACAATTGTGTCTCGTTCGTGTTTTTGCTAAATGGTTGTTGTGTGTGCTGATATCATATTCAGCAACCTTTCCCTGTGTCCCATCTTCTGGGATGCAGCAGGTTACAACTTCTCCGGGGTTTTGCACTGTTTGGGGCTTACTTTAGTCTCATTTTGTATTGGGTAAAAATCATTATTACTAAGTTTGAAGCTTTAAACATTTGAGTGATTTTGTGCTGTTCCTTTTGCCTTCTGCTTATAGATTATATTTCTCTCATTGCTTTTATCTGTTGGTAAGATGCTGTGGAAATTTTTTAAGAGCAATATATTAATTACTTTACATGAATGCTGTAACATTTTATTCATCAATCTTTCAGTCTCCCTCAATTTAAACCTCTTGTTTCTATTCCCATCTCTTCTGTTGATTTAATTTCATTCATGTTTTAATCAAGTTGCCTCTGTTTATGGCTTATGTCTTAGATTATGCAGTGCTCCAGATTACACGCTCTGCATTCAATCTAGGCCCAGTCATTAGCTGTAGTCATAAACCCACAAGGCAGTGGATTCCTTCAGATGAATAGCTCAGTACAGTGTGTGTAGATGGAATACCTTGATCTATAATGCTTTCTATTTAAGAGCCTTGAATCTTTTAGAACCACGTCTAAATCCGTTTTCCCCAAGATTATGCCCTCCAGATTTGATCAGATGACATCTCATGATTTTTACTTGCAAATGCTAGCTGAGCCTGAAAGGAGGTTGCAGTTGCTGCCAGGCAGCCTTTTTTAACCTGGGGCCCTCCAGAAGTGGCAAGCTACATTTTCCATCAGTCCGATGGAATAGCCAATGTCCTTGAATGAAGGAAGATCTATATAGTATATGTATTCAGCTCTGATATGTAAATCATTATCATTTTGTTATTTTGTTTTTTGTTTTGTTTTGTATTATTATTCTTTATTCTTATATGTATTTACGTAACTTTAAAAGAATCTTGTTGCCTTTATAAGTGGGGATGTTACAAAAATACTTTTTTTTTATTTTCTACCTATAATGTTTATTTAAATTTCTTTCACATTAAGATAGATGCTCTAGCATAGGTCATGATATAACAGATACCTGAAAAGATGCCATTAGTATGAAAGTAGCATGCTATGTGTATTTTGAGCTGTCAACCCAGAAGGTGTTTCTGTTTGATTGCAAAGCGTAAGTAATATTTTAACTGTTCTAGTCATAGCCTCCAGTAAACGAGCAGACCATGTGACATTGCAGAGGAGACAGTTGTTCGCTCCAGTTCTGTTGTATTTCTGATAGTGATGTGAGCACAGCTGGTGGAGGATGGTGTTTTGTGTCTCGCAGCAAATCCTTTGTCTTCTAGGGCTATAATCCTCAGAGGACATGCCTCTCTTTCATCCTGCATTTTTCTAAGACAGTCGGTCCAGGCTGCTAAATATTGAGACTATGGAATAGAAAGCGCAATTCAGTGGCTTTGTGATGCTCCAGCAGTGACGCATTCACAATTTTTAGAAGGCTTTGCATAATAAAATGCACTCCATGTCTATACATGATGTTGTAAATTCTTACATTAACAGAGAGCACCTCCGAGCAAGCATGATGCAGGCTTGCATGAATCTGAGAGGCAAAATGAAGGTCAAGGAGCAGCAGAAATCAGCGTGGCAACGGCTGGCAGTAGCCAGGTAAAGTCAGCATTTTATTTATAAGTAATGCTTAAACCTATAGTGCTTTTGAAGGTAAATTGACGTAATTCTAATATGAAACTAAAATGTGTGAGAGTGGTTTCCTTCATATATTTTAAATCAGAAAGGGCATGCTGTTAGAAGAGATGGAGGCTTTTTAATCTGAAACAAAAGGTTTTACTAACTAGACTTAAATATTTTGCACAGTGAGCTCAATATAGTTCTTGCTCATGGCTGTACATTTGGCTGGGAAAGGAGCAAATATGCCCTTCAGTTTGACTTTTCTATATATGTTCATGTTAAACTCTTGACTAATGAAAATAACTTCCTTTTACATGATTTTAAAATTGTTATTAAAATAAAACAAGTTATACATTAGCTTTTTTGGTGAAAACTGTTATTTAAAGCATGAAATAAGTTCTTGAATGTCCATTTGGGTTGAAAATTGATTTTTTTTGTAATGGACTGCTGATGTTGTTTTGCTGTATGTCCTAATTTGGATAATATCCAAACCTTTCTTTATATAGAACAGTATATATTCATTTAGATAGGGAATATTGTGAAATGCAGTATATGCTTTCATGAGCACCATCACATGTCAGGATGCCATAGAATCTCTAAATTACATTAGCTCTAATTCTTATGTCCTTAAACCATTGCATTTTTTCTAATTTCTGTTTCACTATGAAATGTTTCTAATCTCTTAAAATTATAATATTATTTGACTTCAGATACAGTATAAAATTTAATTTATCTTGATTGACTTCCTCTTTCCCTATAGTCAGCATTGTCTAATGTAATTGATTTTTCTCAATAGTTAAGTGTCAGGAAAGCTTAAATTGTTATCTTAGTTTAAATATAATTTATTTTGATTCATTTTTCTTGCTTTTTTCTGAGCAGTAAATCAGAGGCTGCACTATAGATTCTAATTAAAATGTTTCTCTGATTTAAAAATAAAAGATGGGGGGTTGTGTTTGTTCAAAATATTATAATTAAACTGTGGCACATTGTAAAAATGGTGAAAATATTCTGTTTCATGATACAATTTTAAAAGTGTCTTATTACACAGGGAATATAATGTGATGTTTTTGAAAAAAAGTAAAGAAAAAACTTGCTGTTTTAACAGAACAGTTGATTTTGAATTAATTAGGATAAATTATTCTTAAAGTATTAAACTTATTTATCTCCCAAAGATCTATAGATATTTAAAGGCCTTTTTTCTGAGAGATATTTGGGATTACAGGTTGAGCATCCCTTATGAGAATTCAAAATCCAAAATTGTTCAAATGGGAGGCGGAGATAGTGACATCTTTGTTTTCTGAAGATTCAACATACACAAACTTTGTTTCATGCACAAAATAATTTTAATGTGTATAAAATTACCTTGAACGAATAAATGAATTTCATGTTTAGACTTGGATCCTATCTTGAAGAGATCTCATTATGTATATGGAAATATTCTAAAATCCAACACTCCCCAGCAGGCCCGTAGCCAGGATTCGGGGAGAGCTGAGTTTGATTTGGGGGGAGGGGGGGCTGAGTCTGAGTGAAAGAGGGTCTACCCTAGCAAACCTTTTGTATCGTTACCCCAATACCCCCATGCATATGGGATATATTGAGCATGGTGATCAGATCATGATATGAATAAACATAACAGTTTAAATAATGTACCAGTAAGGCCTTTCGCAGACCACCATGAGAATTTCGGCTACAGGCTGGAGCCCCCCCCCCCCCCCCCCCCGGCTACATTTTGGATAATGAATACCAATAAGAGAGAGAAAGCATAATTTCTTATGAGATGTAGAGTGATGCTGGTATTTTATTTCTGAAAATGTAGTTAACTCATTTTACCTTTGTATATCAACTGTGAAAATGGTCAAAATAGACACACACCCCCCCCAAAAAAAGCCTTTGAAATATTACTTATTTCAGATAGTGTTAGCAGTTTTCAGGAGAAAACTGGATTATGGAGAACCATGGATATTTCCAAGTTGAATGGGGTTTTTTTAGCTATGATAAAAAAGTAATCTATAAATCTAAAATGTCTTGAAGCTCGCAAGACGTTTTCCTGTTAGTTAGAGGACACCTCTGGATGGGGTGGGCTGTGCCATCCAGAGAAAAGGAGGGGTTACCAAAGTGAAGTGGAGCTTCTGCTCATAGTAAGTCTTTGTCTGCTTTTCAGCAGTTTCCTTGTCCTCCATCAGTCCCTTTGCCTAATGGCCAATGGTATATTCTAAGGTAGAATTCAGAGGTGTTGCCAGGGCAAAGTCACCTTCTTACCCTTTCTTCTTGATGTCTCTTTGGAACCAAGCCAGTGGTATTGATTGCTAAATATAGCTCAGCTTAATTTAGGCCCTTTTTTGACAAATGCTAGGATTTGTGACAGGAGACACTGACTGATCATCCACATAATGGATGCTTTTAAGCTCCACAGCTTAGCTGACACAAGTTTGATAATGTGAGTTTCAATAAGAGGATCCACTGGCATATCATTGTACTTGCAAAACTTAGGTCTCAGTCACTTTTTGAAAAATATTTAAAGATACTTTTCTCTTGCCCTCTCATAATGGCCGTCTTCACCATCTCCTATTTTTCCTTCCCAGTGAGTTCTGCTGCATCTCCTTCCTGATACGCCCTACTCCGTCTCTGTTTCAGTTATGTTCCCTTTTCTGCTAAAATGTGTTATCTAAAAAGGTCTCCCCAATCCTTTTGGTGTTTTAACATTTTGAATTTCAAGAAAGTTCTATAGGTGATGTCATTATTCTTAAGGATTCCTCAGCAGAAATCTGTCAATCTTTTTATCAGCCGAGAAAAGAGAGAGCAACTCATAGAATTATAAAATCTTAGAGTTGGAAAAGTCAACCCCCCACTATGCAGGAACACATAATCAGAGCATTCTCAACAGATGGCTATTCAATCTTAGTTTTAAATTCTCCAAAGAAGGCGAGTCCACCACACTCCAAGGCAGCATAACCCACTTTTGAACAGATCTTACTGTCAGGAAACATCAGGAAATTCTTTCTTATATTCAGACGGAACCTCTTTTCCTGTAGTTTGAATCTTCTAGAACAGCGGAAATCTATCCTGCCCCATCTTCAATATGACATCCTTTCAAATATTTGAACATGATTATCATCTCCTCTTAACTTTCTCTTCTCCAAGCTACACATACCAAGATCCCTGAGCATTGCCTAATAGGGCTTGGCTTCAAGACTTCATGACATACATCTCTGATTTGAATGCATTGTACTACCAGCTCTTCTTAATAAGTGCAGGAGAAAAGACCACTTAATGGTGAAAGGTTGTTTGGAAATTTTATGGTTGAGTGCAGCTGCCAGATCTAAGTGTTTTAGATTCCCTCGGGACAATATTGAGCCAGATGAAAATTCTCAAATAAAATGCTATCACATGTGAAATGTCTCTTATCTTCTCCTGTGTAACTTATACTTGACTTTTTATAGATTGATTCCTTATCAGTTTTCCTCATCCATAATAAGAATTGTGGGACAATGGGATTTCTATTGACTTGCTTAGCTCAGTTAAATCATAACTTGAATTGCAAAATGCTGAAATTTTAAAATGTTGCTTAACTTGTAGGGTTCAACGGCTCGGATGGACCATGAGACATCCAGTGTTATGAGTTCTAATAGTAGTTACTCTGTTCCTCGGAGACTGACAAGCCACCTGGGAACCAAGGTAACCAAAGATTTTCACAGGGTGCTTACACTGCATTGTACAATCAAAGTAATTTTTATATAAAGGGAATTAGTTTTACATTTCTGAGCTTTTATCACAGGCTATGCACTGTCCTATTTTACAATACTAAGTAGACTAGGTTTTCCAGGTCATGCCACTAAAATAAATACTTCCAGTTGAGATCCCTCAGGCAAACTGTCTTTTAAAAAGACGTTTCTTGACACCATAATTTGAAAGTTCTTAATATTTAGAAGCTTTGGAACAGTTTGGAATTTCATAAATTTCTGCTGCAGTTTCTATGCTGTTGTGCTTTGGATGCTGGTGTTTTTAGTTTTTGCCGAGTTGTATTTAATAGTAGTTGATAAAGCACGGCCTCTATGTCTTTGCATATGCACAAAGTTATGTTCTGAGAGCAAGAATGCTTTTTCAAAGGTTGAGATCCAGTAGAGGGTGAGATCCAAGAGAGTTTTGGTTGGGCAACGATTATTCAGTGGAATTGTATTTGTGGGAATTTTTGCATTTGCACTATGCCCTTGCATTTTGCACTTGCCTATAAATTTTAGGAAATAGATGTGAAAGATTTTGAAAAATCTATATTTTTACTCCATTAATACATGTATTGCAAATGCATAAAATTTATATATTCATTTAAATATCAAAGTATTGAATATTGAATAATAGTATACATTTAATAAAAATATATAACAATAAAGATTCTATAATTAATCATATAAATAATAAGCATTGAAATAATTATTAAATTATATTGTTAATGCTTTTTCTAAAGTTCTTGGTATCCGCTGAGGTTTGGTTCTAGGTTCCGACCCCCATGAATTGTTTTGTTAGCATTCTGTGATTTGTAGAGTCAGCCTTTCACATTTGCTGGGTTAGGGACACAGGACTCCTGTATAAGTGAAAAAAATGTGAATAAAGAAATCACTATTTTTACCTGAGAGAACAATTCTGTAGGACAGAGCTTTTGAAACATTTCATGACACACTTTTCAGACATGCATCATATCACGACAAAGTAATTCAGTTTTACTAACACACCGGAGGTTGAACCAATACTTTAGAAAAAATACAGCTATACATCAATTTTAATAATGAAAGTATGGGGAAATAACAGATCCCATGAAGGCATTTTATTTACATTTTTAAAAATATATGATTTGCAAAATAATAACATACTTTTCCAAGAGTTTTGTCATTTTCTGTTACATTCATGCAGCACACCTACACACTGTCACAATGCATAGTTTGAAAAGCTCTGCTCTAGGTCTTCCAGCATGAATCTGTGGTCGATTTCTACTGGAAGGTGACCATAGAATTGCACTTGAGGACCTAAAGATTCATAGAGAATTGTTCTAGAGGATTCTGAGAAAGAGCATTTTAATCAAATCCATGAATAATCAAATCCACAAAAGTCAAAACTGCAAATATTGAAAACAACTGTACTCTAATGTTTTGCTGATATTTCTTATTCCAAAATATCACAATTCTGTTAATATATTCAAGCTCTAGCAAGTATAAGATTATTAAGCTTATCCAGGGTATCCACTCCTCATATTTTGTTAAGAAAGTCTTAAAAAGTTGGACTTTTAATTGCAGTAGTTTTTCTAATAGGACGGAGGTTGAGATAGAACAAGACAGCCCAAAATAAAAAAATAAAATCAGTGTCTTAAATTAGTAAGAACATCTCAGCAAAAAAAGTAAAAGTCATCTCCAAAACTTGGGAATAACTCATTCAGTACCTTTCCAAAAATACTTTATGCTAGGGCAATCCCATATTAGATGATTATGATATTTTATTCATTGATATCCCACCTGTCTCCCAGTAATGGGACTCAAGGGGGCTACCAACATATTTAAAATATGCAATAATGTTCTTTAATGTTTCTTACTTCTAGATGCCATTAGTCATTTTATAGAGAACAAACATATTAATATGCTTTACAGTGATTAGAAATCACATAAAAATATTCTTGATGATATCCCAAAGGTACTTATTATTTTATACTTTAATAAAAATTGACAATATTGTTGAGACAATTTTCCTTTTTCAGGTTGAAATGGTGTATTCATTATTATCAATGCTGGGTACTCATGATAAAGATGACATGTCAAGAACTTTGCTGGCCATGTCCAGCTCCCAAGACAGCTGTATAGCTATGCGCCAGTCGGGATGTCTTCCCCTCCTCATCCAACTTCTACACGGCAATGATAAAGACTCAGTGCTGTTGGGAAACTCCCGGGGCAGTAAGGAGGCCCGGGCCAGAGCCAGTGCAGCACTCCATAACATCATTCACTCCCAGCCTGATGATAAGCGAGGCCGGCGTGAAATTCGTGTCCTCCATCTTTTAGAACAAATCCGAGCTTACTGTGAAACGTGTTGGGAGTGGCAGGAAGCACATGATCAAGGCATGGACCAAGACAAAAATCCAAGTATGTCAGAAACATTTTCAATAGGTCTAAAACAAGAAATGAGAAATTCTGTTTTAACAATACAGCTTTGAATTCGCATCTTGTACATTATAATGTATAAGTCAACCTCATGTATATATTGAGGACAAGCTTATTGGCCAAAATTACAGATTTTGAGATGATTTCTGTGTATGTTGAGGGGAAAGCACCAGTACCACTTCAGGGGGCTAGATGCCCATGGCTGTCAGTGCTGCCATTTCCTCACCTAGGCATTGAAAAAGACTTTAAAAAATTAGACATATACTTGAGGATATAGCATACAATTTATAGTGCACATTGTTCAAAGCACCATTTTCAGGACAGATGTCATAGTAGAGGCAGCATATGAAAAAGCTATATGAGAGTTGTGGTTTATAATTAGGATGGCCAAATCTGCTTATTTCAGCTAAAGTTTTTTTTTATTATTGTAATGTAAGGCTGCTCTATTTCTGTATTAATATCTCATTGTTACATTAACTAGATTTTTATTAGAACTAAATCCAACAAAACATCTAAGATTAAAAACCTATTCTTTAATGAGTGTGGTATGTATGTGTGTGTGTGTATATAGATATATATCTCAGATGTAAAACAAATATGAATCTCCTCCCCTTGCTCCCCACCACCTTCTTGACTTTGAGTGACAAAATGTTAATCCACCATTCAATCCCTTTTTGGGGGGGAGGGGGTAGACCAGCTCATGATAAGCCTAAAAACCTCAATTTGTGTTCAGAGCAGTGGGGAATTTTTAATGTCTCCATTCTCAGACCCAGTGTTTTACTCCTCCCCCATGTCTGTTATCACAGCCAGACATTGACTTGAAGGATTTGCTGCCTTTGCTATGACATTTGTCCTGAAAATGGTGCTTTGAACAATGTGCACTATAAATCTGATCGTTCTGTTTGAGATTTTTCATTGGCTTTGATATGGTGAAGTATCAGATGTTAATGCTCTGGTCATGCTATCCATTTTGTGTGCATAGGATTGTTTAGGGATACTCTTTTATACTTATCAGGCCAGTGATGGTAGTAGCCTATTGTCAGTGTAAAGTGATAATGCTTAGTGATATCTGTGAACCTTTCTGACATGTCTCCATTTCATTGATTAACAGGATCACTATCGCTTCTGTTTGTTCATGTTCATGAAACCATTCTTGCCCTACATGCAGGCAGGGTTTAGGCATATTTTTGAATTTGGAAGAGATTGTACAGTTAAATGATAATTAGAATGCATTTGATTTATTTTAAAGCCTGACCTCTAAATCTCATGCTATTGACTTTCTAATTGATAAAAGTAAAGAGAAATTGTTTTCCTTGTTGTGACACAGTGCCAGCTCCAGTGGACCATCAGATCTGTCCTGCAGTATGCGTTCTGATGAAGCTTTCATTTGATGAAGAGCACAGGCATGCAATGAATGAACTTGGTAAGATTCAAAGATTTCCATTGCACTGCAAGAAAATATTTTTCCTCTTACCCATGCAGGCAGTTTTGTCAGCTGCTGTTATCAGATGCTTCATTATCTTTTCCACCTATATAATTATATATGTTGTCCTTTCTGAGAGCGTATGTCAAATAAAGTAGATCTACCCTCATCCTAGTTCATAAAAGACAAACATTTGTTATACAAAATGATAGAATTTTGGAGTAAATCCTGAATATTTGTACAGTAAGTCCTCTTCTATCTTTACCAATATTGACAGAATTCGTTAGTCTTTGCAGCTGTCCCTGCTAATCCTATCTAATTCTGCTCTGCATACCTTCCAGAGGCTGTCTGTGTCGATATCATGAACACTGGAGCTAAATGCTATTTAAAATATGTGACATCAATATATCATCTACAAGAAAAATAATCCATGATGAAATTATATTCACAAGTGTCACAAAATTTGTGTGGCATGGGAAATGTTGCTGGTTCAAGCAATGCTCTCTAGAAATGTGCAGACGCTGGAATTTGCTACCTTGTTGCACTTTGAGCTTGATTAATGTATATAACATGTATAAGTGTTCATAGTTAAGAACCTGTATCAAATACCTACCTATTCTATTTCAAATGATCACACTTTTTCCATAACTGAAAATGGGCAGGCATGAATATGCTGAACAGATTGATAAAGAAGCCTTGTTAACTGGATCCTCTACTTAGAGTCATTTCCCTTCCTATATTATGAATTCTAGAGGTGCCCTTTCAGGGTACATGAAAATTTTCCTGACTTAACAGGTGTATGTCAGGTACTAACATAACCAGGGCACACAGAAAGAGAAAACCTCCCACATCCATCTGTTATCTTTAGTCTACCCTGTTCTAAGGAGTTTTAGAGCATCATATATAATCACAACACTTATCTCTGTTTAAGTTAAGCTGAGAAATAGGCACTGCTCAAATCTACCAAGTGAACTTATGTCTCCCAGGTAAAATGTTCCCAAAATACTCTGAAATATCTTCCAGAGTACGAGTAGGAGAGGTCACCAGATGGAATTAAAATTTATAGCTTTCATTCAATGGACTTTCTGTTATTTGCAAAACTTATGGGCACATCAGCAAACTATGGTAATAGTATTGACAGTTATGATGGCAGTGATTCCTAGATGAGACCACATGAGCCATCTAGTCCAACCCCCTGCCATGCAGGAAAAGTAGTATCAAATCACCCCTGACAGTGTTGCATTTTCTACCATTTTTACAAGATTGAGTACAATTTTTTTAAAAAAAACCTATTTGACTTAGGTCCAAATTATCAGAAAGCCCATATCTCCCCATATAAGGCTGCCTGAGTCTTGTGATCTTCAAGGCAGGGCTTTCTTTCCATCCCACCACCTTCCCAAGCTTGCTTGGTGTGGATGCGGTTAATTGTTGCTCCTAGACTTTGGAACTGACTTCACAGGGAAGACGTTGTCTTTTGTAAAGACCCTCTTCATTTAAACAGGCATTTAGCCTTGGACTGACCAGATAGAGTGGTGGTTAAGATTTAAGATACACTGTGTGTTTCTAGTGATTTAAATTTTAAAAATAGTGTTTTAATTTAATGTACTATTTCATGTTTTCCTAACTTTTATATATTTTATGCTGTTTTAACTGCTCTGTTTTAATGTATACTGTAAACCACTTTGAATCCCACTTAGAAGAAAAATGGAATATAAATAAAATAAATATTAGACTTAGGAAAAAATGTTTCCAGCATTTAGAGCATGGACAGAAAGGATATGGCCTCCTGACAATATTGGGCTCTAGATACTTACAACCTCAGCTAAAACAGCCAGTGACTAGGAATAATGGTTGTTTCAATACAATAACATCATGTGAGCCATGGGTTCCCTATCCCAGCTTTAAAAAAAAAACCCAAACAAACAAACAATCTAACCTGGATAAGACGATTTGTCTGAATTTTGAGCCAGTTGGTTTGCTTTCATTTCCCTAAGTTGCTTGATACTCTTGTCTTGGCATGCTCCATATTACTTCAAACACATTTTCTGTTGAAATCAAGAGAGTTTGTTATTGTTCCTTTGCTTTGTCCCTGACATTTCTGTACTAGGGAGAAATATATGTTGGTTAAGAATAATAATTATTTCTAACAAACTTTTCAATCACTTTCACAGGGGGATTGCAGGCCATTGCAGAATTGCTTCAGGTGGATTGTGAAATGTATGGGCTTACAAATGATCACTATAGTGTCACATTAAGACGATACGCTGGAATGGCCCTAACAAATTTAACCTTTGGAGATGTAGCTAATAAGGTAGGGTTTTTTACATGCCCTTTTTATTGATTTATATAATATTAAATATTTAGAATTTTCAAACTATTGTTACTTATTGCTTTGTTTTGGTTTTTTAGCTATTCTTGGTGCATTTAAGACACAAAATGTGAACAAAAATAATGCCATTTTTTCTTTTATTCTACTCCTAAATATTTTAACATGTGAACAATGCCATAATTACACTGATTCATCAGTTGGGTTTTTTAAATAATCTACTTTCTTTTCTTTAAACAGGCTACATTGTGTTCGATGAAGGGTTGCATGAGGGCTCTTGTAGCCCAGTTAAAATCTGAAAGTGAAGATCTGCAGCAGGTACATCTTACTTCCTATTGGAATATTCCTGCTACTATTTATTTCATTCATGTTGTGCAGCACACACTATCAGTGAAGAGACGCCTCCCAAAGGATGGTAAAACATCCAGGCACCCCCTGGACAACGTCATTGCAAACAGCCAATTCTCTCACACCAGAAGCAACTTGCAGTTTCTCAAGTAATTCCTGACACGAAAAAAGAGGATTTTCTTCCTCTATTATCTATACCCTTTCTTTTTCCATTTTTTCCATTTTCTTTTCTTAATGTTTTGTGTATTAGGCTATGTGGTGCTTCTAGAGATTTTTGGTATTACAAAACGCATAATCTTTTAAATTTGGCCCTAGTGACTAGGATTTTGGGAAATTATGGTAACAGTCATCTTGAAATTATATGTCCCTGTTGTTTCAAAATCGAACCGAGTCAGCTATTCATTCACTAATATAATTTTACCTTTTACCTTTATTTTTTACTGGTGGCATCTGGGAATTTTGATCAGGAGTACCTTAGTGTAGACATGTACCTCTGAAGATAAGAAGAAGCTGACAACTTATCTTGTGCTGTTTGATCCTTCATCTAATAAAGTTGTATTAAGGAATCTTGCATTTTGAAATGTTAATGGATTGTTGGTTAATTAACTGCTAACTCACAAAATTGTATGAATGTTTTAATAGGTCATTGCAAGTGTTTTGAGAAACTTATCTTGGAGAGCAGATGTGAACAGTAAGAAGACATTACGTGAAGTTGGAAGTGTGAAAGCCTTGATGGAGTGTGCTTTGGAAGTTAAAAAGGTATAGTCCACAGAAGTATCTGTAAAATATTTAGAATCATTTTTCATTTCTGGGAAAAAAAATTCCCAAAACGCTGAAGAGGAATTCACCAGGAAGCGCTAATAATACTAAGCCAGATGGACAATTTATCTCATTATAAGACAGCTTCCTGATTTCCTGAGGCTTCAATAACTGGGGGAAATATCCAGAATTTTTGTGTAGTCTCATTTGCCCCCTTTTCTCTTAAAGGATTTGGCACCTTGGGGGGTGGGGGGAATGAGGATTAGGAAGTTGCTAGAAAGTGAAATGAAATAACTTGCAAATTGGCCCCTTTCTGTTTCAGTGATAGAAGACCTCTATGGGCAAAGCAATTGTAAACCAAGTTTATTACACTTTAATCCTAGCAAAATCAGATGAACAAGTAGATAGATTTCAGTGAAATCTTCCTGATCATATTACAATACTGTCCTTGCATCTTTAATTAAATGAAAGTCTCATTTAACCAGCATTGCTAACTTAGTAGACATATTTAGCATTGCACTGGTGTTCTGGTGTGAGATTTTATAGGAGTGAAGCAAAAACTCTTCAGATTTTTTTGCAGGTGTTCTCTACCAGACCATATCCAGTCCTATAGTTTTACTACTATAGTATCAAAATTGTCATGAATTTGTTTAGTTAAAGGTTGCATACCAGAACTGTAATCTAATGTTTGTTGTCTCTGTAGGAATCGACTCTAAAAAGTGTACTGAGTGCCTTATGGAATTTGTCAGCACATTGCACTGAGAATAAAGCTGATATCTGTGCTGTGGATGGTGCTCTTGCCTTTTTAGTTGGCACACTCACTTACCGGAGTCAAACAAATACTTTAGCCATCATTGAAAGTGGAGGAGGAATATTGCGTAATGTCTCTAGCTTGATTGCCACAAATGAGGACCACAGGTAGGTCTACTGCCCAGTAACTTCTTTTTGTTTTTAGTTTATGTAAAGTGCCTTCAGTCTGCTTGTCAGGTGAAATGAGTTTCCGAGCACCTTACTTGTTAGTAAATAAATAAAATAGCATATATCCTAAAATGAACAATTTAAAAAAGCTAAGGGGTTGGGAAGAAGAAGTCAAAAAGCAAATTCAGATATCAGAGCTTAATACAAATGAATTTTTTATGAGAATCAGATGGAATGGAAGCTTTTCAAAGAGAGGAAGAAGCAAAAGGAGCTAGTTTATTAAGTACTACCAGTGAATGGACTGGTAGAATTAATGTTCCCCAGTAACCGTTGAGGAGGTAGCAGTGGTAGCCTATTTGTTAGCAAAGTTGATAGGGTGGGCATGCTTCTAGTGCAGCTGAGTCATATGCTTCACAGGGTCTACTTAAAACATGTGCTGTAAGCCAATCAATTTATGAAAAGTACTAATGAAGCTGGTGTTTATTTGACAATTCACAAAATGTTATATTGAAGTAGGCAGGTATTATGATTGAGGTTATCCTTAAAATTACAGTATGTTCACTTACTTAAACATTTTGTGTTTAAAACTATTGGCCAGATACGTGCAGTCTGAAAAGTTTCTATGGAGGAAAAAGCAAAATACTGTGGTTAGTTGTACTAGTTGTATTGGGATGCACATATCTTTATTTTAATTATAGTAGGCACTTCAATTTCATGGGGATTCTGCAAAAGAAGAAATAATTATCATTTAAAAACCCAACTTTTTTAGAAATACCAACTTCTGGCAGAAGCTAACTATTAGAGCTATGCAATCGATTAAAAATGCTTCAAAAGTAATTACAAAATTAGGAGGCCCCTGCATTTTGTTCCTAAAGTGCTTTTAAAGTATTGTTAGTAAAAAAAATGTGTTACTATGTTGTGAAGGTTATTGTGCGTGTGGGGGGGGGGGGCTTCCGGGTCTCTTTTCTCCCTGATTTTTAGAGTTATTGGCGTGAAACTTGTTACAATACTAGAACACGTTTAAAACTGTAACCCCACCCCCAAATTTTCAGAACATTTCACTCATCTATTGATTTTTGGGATTTTTTTTATTTTTACCAAAAACAAACAACAAACAAACTACAAGAGCTATGTCCTGTAATTTCCCTACAATAACACAATATAACCAGAATGTCATTTCCTCTAAGTTTCAAAAAGATTGGCACATCTCCTGATTTTGGGGGGATTTTTTAATTTTTTATCAAAAAAAATTAATTGCTATGGCTGGCTGGAGTGGGTGAGGTGATAGTTCTTAAGCACTACATTAAGCAAGAATAAAGTCTCCCAAAACCCAGGGAATTTTATAGTTTGTTTCCCCTTCAAGGATTTGGACTCCATGCTTTGACTTGTGGCTGAGATAAACAAGTGGTTGAATTTTTTTTTTTGCTGGTTTATGCACACAGAGATCACACTAGCTTTAGAAAAAGCAGCTAAGGCAACTTGTTCCAGAGTTAAACAAGTGGTTGTGTTATTTTTTACTGGATTATGCACACAGAGATCACACTAGCGCTAGAAAATGCTACCAAAGCAAGTTGTAGCTGGGTGAAAAAAATGGTAGTGTGCTTTTTGGCTCTGTGCACACAGAGAACAATGTAGCCCAAGCAGTAAACCTCAAAGATTCTCTAAAATGCAGCAAAAATATAAATCAGTTAACGGTAAAAGGCACCCACCCACCCCAAAAAAGAATAAGCAAGCCCCTGCCTGCCAGTGCCTGTCTCAATGTCTCTACAACATGCAAAGCTTCTCTCTCTCTCGCCTTCTCTTTCCCCAGTGCAAAGAGTCAGCCTCAGCTACAGTAAACTATAACCTAAGCAACAATTAATGGAGTCTTTGTCTCTCTTCTCCAGTGTAACCCTATGCCTGCCTGCTAAGAAAGCTAACCTGGCATGGAGTTCCTCTATTTCCTTTCCCTAGCGCAAGTGGAAGGTGCAGCGAGGCACTGGGGAAAAGGAGCAATGGTTGCAGCTCCGTTCCCTCCCCCCCCCCCCCCCAATGCCGGTTAGCTAATTTTTTAAAAAAAAAAATTGGCACAGACAAGGCCCACGCATCAGATACCACATCATAACTACGACTCTCACAAATTTGATCTGGCTTATGATGGGTTATGAAAATTTTGCACAGCTCTATTAACTATAGAGTCATCCTGGATGATCTATAAATTACTAGACATACTGTTTTAACCAAATCCATGAAAAGTTAAATTCGTAAAAGTTAAACCCACAAATGTGGAGAGCTGGCACTACCAGTTTTTGTTTTTTTTACTCTGCTTAGTTAAACTTCTTACTACAGTCCAAAGGGAAACAAGCAACAGAAACACATACTGGCATATGTGCCGCCACCCTTTGAAAATACTGCCAATGATTTTTGCCCATCTAATAATAAATGTTAATAGGCAACTAAAATGGTCAAATGTCTGGAGACCATGCCCTATGAGAAGCATCTTAAAGAACTGGGTTTAGCGTTCAGAGGAAATGGTTGAGAGGAGACTTGATCACCTTGTTTAAATATTTGTTAGGAAGAACTTCCTGACTGTAAGAGCTATTAAGTAGTGGAACTCTCTGTCTCAGAGTATGGCAGAAACTCCTTCCTTGGAAGCTTTTAAACAGTGGCTGAATAGCCATCTGTCAGGGGTACTTCGATTGTGCTTTTCCTGCATGGCAAGGGGTTGGACTAGATGGCCCATGTGGTATCTTTCAACTTTATTATTTCATGATTTTAATGTTGTGTATTTTGTTTTTTGTTTCCTTAACTGTAGGCAAATTCTAAGAGAGAACAGTTGTTTGCAAACCCTGCTGCATCACTTGAAGTCTCACAGTTTGACCATAGTCAGCAATGCATGTGGAACGCTGTGGAACCTCTCTGCACGCAATGCAAAGGACCAGGAAGCATTGTGGGACATGGGAGCAGTGAGCATGCTCAAAAACCTTATACACTCAAAGCACAAGATGATAGCCATGGGCAGTGCTGCTGCTCTAAGAAACCTAATGGCAAACAGACCTGCAAAATACAAAGACGCTAATATCATGTCCCCAGGCTCAAGTTTACCATCCCTTCATGTCAGAAAGCAAAAAGCACTTGAAGCAGAGCTAGATGCTCAACATTTATCTGAGACTTTTGACAACATTGATAATTTGAGTCCCAAAACATCTCATCGCAATAAGCAAAGACATAAACAGAATCTGTACAGTGAATATGTGTTGGATGGTAGCAGACATGATGACGGAGTTTGCAGATCTGAAAATTTTAATACTAGTAATGTGCTTTCACCATATTTAAACACAACGGTGTTGCCTGGCTCTTCCTCCTCAAGCAGAAGTAATGCAGAGAGTTCTCGATCTGAAAAGGACAGGAGTTTGGATCGGGAGCGTGCTATTGGATTAAGCAGCTATCATTCAGCAACTGAAAGTTCTGGGAATGCTTCGAAACGAATAGGAATGCAGATCTCTACTGCTGCAGCTCAGATTTCCAAAGTAATGGAAGAAGTGACAAGCATGCATATTCCACCAGAAGAGAGAAGCAATGGATCTGTAACTGAAATGCACTGCTTGTCAGAAGACAGGAGTGCTTTAAGAAGGACATCAGCTGCCCATTCTCACACCAGTGCTTACAACTTTCCAAAATCTGAGAACAGAACATGCCCTGTACCTTATGCAAAAGTGGAGTATAAGAGAGCGTCTAATGACAGTTTGAACAGTGTCAGTAGCAGTGATGGATATGGCAAAAGAGGACAAATGAAGCCTATTGAATCTTATTCAGAAGATGAAGAAAGTAAATTTTGCAGTTATGGGCAGTATCCCGCAGACTTGGCCCATAAAATACACAGTGCGAATCATATGGATGACAATGATGGAGAACTAGATACTCCAATAAATTATAGTCTGAAATACTCTGATGAACAGTTGAATTCTGGAAGGCAGAGCCCATCACAGAATGAAAGATGGGCAAGACCCAAACACATAATAGAGGAAGAAATAAAGCAGAGTGAGCAAAGGCAGTCTAGAAGTCAAAGTGGAGCATATCCTGTATATACTGAGGGTGGTGACAGTAAACATATGAGCTACCCGTCAGCTTTTGGGCAACCTGAGTGTGTGTCTCCTTTCAGATCAAGAGATTCCAGCACTTCGGAACAAAACAGATCGGGCTGCAGCCACGGAATAAATCAAAAAGTGAACCAGTCTTTACGTCAAGTAGATGATTATGAAGATGATAAGCCAACTAATTATAGTGAGCGTTACTCTGAGGAGGAGCAACATGAAGAAGATCATCCAACCAATTATAGCATAAAATACAATGAAGAGGAGGACCATGTAGATCAGCCTATAGATTACAGTCTCAAATATTCCACTGACGTTCCCTCTTCTACACAAAAGCCATCTTTTTCTTTTTCAAAAAGTCCATCTGTACAGAGTTCTAAAACAGATCATATTTCATCCAGCAGTGGAAATACATCAACCTCTGCTGGCTCAAAAAGACATCATCAGCTCCATCCAAATTCTGCTCAGGGAAGAACAGGTCACACTCAGAAACCTACATCTAGCAAAGCACCCTCTATTAACCAAGAAACAATACAAACATATTGTGTTGAAGATACGCCAATATGCTTTTCAAGATGCAGTTCTTTGTCGTCTTTGTCATCAGCTGAAGATGAAACAGGACGTGATCAAGCCACACGTGTAGCAGATGCTGACAATTCTTTGAAGGTAGGGAGAATGAAAGAAAATAGTGGGAATCTGTCCGCAGCAGGTACAGTAAATGAAGCCTCATCGGCCACTCAGCACATTAGAACAAAATCAAATAGACTTCAGGCTTCTAGTCTATCTCCTTCTGAATCAGCAAGACATAAAACAGTTGAGTTTTCTTCAGGTGCCAAATCTCCTTCAAAAAGTGGTGCTCAAACTCCCAAGAGCCCACCTGAACATTATGTGCAGGAGACACCACTCATGTTTAGCAGGTGTACCTCTGTAAGTTCTTTGGACAGTTTTGAGAGCCGTTCAATTGCTAGTTCAGTTCAGAGTGAGCCTTGCAGTGGGATGGTAAGTGGTATTATAAGTCCAAGTGACCTTCCAGATAGCCCTGGGCAAACGATGCCACCAAGTAGAAGTAAAACCCCACCACCTCCACCAGTGACTCAAGTAAAGCGAGAAGCAGCCAAACCTAAAGCACCTAGTACTGAAAAAAGAGAATCTGGACCAAGGCAAGCAGCTGTAAATACAGCTGTTCAAAGAGTGCAGGTATTGCAAGATGCAGACACATTATTACATTTTGCTACCGAAAGTACACCAGATGGGTTTTCTTGTTCATCAAGCCTAAGTGCTTTGAGTCTTGATGAACCATTTATTCAGAAAGATGTAGAGTTGAGAATAATGCCACCTGTTCATGAAAATGACCATGGGAATGAAGCAGAACTTGAACAATCAAATGAGACAAAGGACAAACAAGAAAAGAGTATAGAAAAACCCACAGAAACTGAAAAAGATATATTGGATGATTCTGATGAAGATGATATTGAAATTTTAGAGGAATGTATTATTTCTGCTATGCCAACAAAGTCTTCTCGTAAAGCCAAAAAGCCCTCACAAACAACTGCTTCAAAGATACCTCCACCTGTAGCCAGGAAACCAAGCCAGCTTCCTGTATATAAACTTCTCCCTTCTCAAAACAGGTTGCATTCGCAAAAGCATGTTAGTTTTACACCTGGAGATGATATGCCACGAGTGTATTGTGTTGAGGGCACCCCAATAAATTTTTCAACAGCAACATCTCTAAGTGATCTCACAATAGAATCGCCACCAAATGAATTAGCTGGTGCAGAGACATCTGTAACAGGGGTGGAATCAGCTGAATTTGAAAAGAGAGATACCATCCCAACAGAAGGCCGAGATACTGATGATGGTTACAGAGGGAAAAATTCAACTGGGACTATTGTGGGGTTGGATGATGACAAAGCAGAAGAAGGTGATGATATCCTTGCAGAATGTATTAATTCTGCTATGCCAAAAGGGAAGAGTCACAAGCCTTTCAGAGTAAAAAAGATAATGGATCAGATCCAGCAAGCATCTCCACCATCATCAATAAGTAATAAGAATCAATTGGAAGTTGAGAAAAAGAAACCAACATCACCAGTAAAACCTATGCCCCAAAGTAATGAATACAGAGCCCGTTTACGAAAAAACACAGAGCCAAAAAACAATTTTAATAGTGAGAGGACTTATACAGATAACAAAGATACAAAGAAACAGAACCTTAAGAATAACTCAAGAGATTTTAATGATAAGCCTCCAAACAATGAAGAACGTACAAGAGGAAGCTTTGCATTTGATTCTCCCCACCATTATACTCCAATTGAGGGAACTCCATATTGTTTTTCACGAAATGACTCCCTGAGTTCTCTAGATTTTGATGATGATGTAGATCTTTCAAGGGAAAAGGCAGAACTGAGAAAAGGAAAAGAAAGTGAAATTAAATCCAATTCCAATACAGAACAAATTTCAAGTCAGCAGTCAACTAATAGAATGCAGACTTGCCAAAAACATACTCCAGCAGTGAGAAATCAACTCAAGAGTCTGACTCAAAAGCAAACCTCTTTCTCTCAGACATCTAAAGATATAGTAGATAGAATTGCAGCTACTGATGAGAAAATGCAAAATTTTGCTATAGAAAATACTCCAGTTTGTTTCTCTCGTAATTCTTCTCTGAGTTCTCTGAGTGATATTGATCAAGAAAACAACAACAATAAAGAAAGTGAACCTGTGGAACAAATAGAACCATCTGAGGCACAGATAGAATCAAATCGGCCACAAGTTTCTGGCTATGCTCCCAAGTCATTTCATGTTGAAGATACTCCTGTATGTTTTTCAAGAAACAGTTCCCTTAGTTCTCTTAGTATTGACTCTGAAGATGATCTTTTGCAGGAATGCATTAGTTCTGCCATGCCTAAAAAGAAAAGGCCTTCAAGAACAAAAGGAGACAGTGAAAAAAATAGTTGCAGAAACATGGGAGGCATTTTGGCTGAAGACTTAACACTAGATTTGAAAGATATACAAAGGCCTGATTCAGAGCATGGTTTCTCACCAGATTCAGAGAACTTTGACTGGAAGGCTATTCAGGAAGGTGCTAATTCAATAGTCAGCAGTTTACATCAAGCTGCTGCCGCAGCATCACTATCAAGGCAAGCTTCATCAGACTCAGATTCAATTCTTTCATTAAAATCTGGAATTTCCTTAGGTTCACCTTTCCATCTCACGCCAGACCAAGAAGACAAACCCTTTACTAGTAATAAGGGTCCAAGAATAATTAAACCTGGAGAAAAGAGTACATTAGAAACTAAGAAAGTAGAACCTGAAAATAAAGGCATCAAAGGGGGAAAGAAAATTTATAAAAGTTTGATTACAGGCAAAGCTAGGTCTAATTCAGAACTTACAAGTCACCTGAAGCAACCATTGCAAACAAATATGCCTTCTATTTCCAGGGGCAGAACAATGATTCATATTCCTGGAGTTCGAAATAGTTCGTCAAGTACAAGTCCGGTTTCTAAAAAGGGGCCACAGCTGAAGAGTATGGTTTCCAAAAGTCCCAATGAAACACCGAGTTCTACTAGTTCTCCAAGAGTAAGCAAACCGTCTATGAAATCAGAGCCAAGCCCAATATCTAGACAGCTATCCCAACCAGGTGGATCAAATAAAGGAACTTCGAGGTCCGGATCTAGAGATTCTACACCTTCTAGACCACAACAACAACCGTTAAGTAGACCTCTGCAGTCACCTGGTCGAAATTCAATTTCACCAGGCAGGAATGGCATAAGTCCCCCTAATAAACTTTCCCAGCTACCAAGGACATCATCTCCAAGTACAGCGTCAACCAAGTCCTCAGGTTCAGGAAGAATGGCATATACATCACCTGGCAGACAATTGAGCCAGCAGTCTATAGCAAAGCAGACAGGACTGCCTAAAAGTACCAGTGGTATTCCTAGAAGCGAATCTGCCTCAAAGGGATTAAACCAAATGTCTAGTATCAGTGGATCAAGCAAAAAGTCTGATGTATCTAGAATGTCTTCAGCAAAGTCAAGTGGGAGTGAATCTGACAGATCAGAGAGACCTGTTTTAGTACGTCAATCAACTTTCATTAAGGAAACTCCAAGCCCCACTCTAAGAAGGAAATTAGAAGAGTCTGCTTCATTTGAATCTTTGTCTCCTTCTAGACCAGACTCTCCCACCCAGTCCCAAACACAGACCCCAGTTTTAAGTCCATCACTTCCTGACATGTCCTTATCTACTCATTCAGCCATTCAAACGAGTGGCTGGCGAAAATTGCCTCCTAGCCTGAGTCCTTCTTTAGAATACAGCGATGGTAGGCCAACAAAACGACATGACATAACTCGATCTCATTCTGAGAGCCCTTCCAGACTGCCAATTAATAGATCAGGGACATGGAAACGAGAGCACAGCAAACATTCCTCATCACTTCCTCGTGTGAGCACTTGGCGACGGACTGGAAGCTCCTCCTCAATTCTTTCAGCTTCTTCAGAATCTAGTGAAAAAGCAAAAAGCGAAGATGAAAAGCAGTATGTAAGTTCTTTTTCGGGACTCAAACAAGCTAAAGAGACGCAAGCACCTACAAAAGGTACTTGGAGAAAGATAAAAGAAAATGAAATTCCTCAGATAATGACAAGTCCTCCCCAGAGTAGTTCATCGGGTGCTGCTAATGGTGCTGATTCAAAAACTTTAATTTATCAGATGGCACCTGCGGTCTCTAAGACAGAGGATGTGTGGGTGAGGATTGAGGACTGCCCTATAAATAACCCTAGATCTGGAAAATCTCCCACAGGAAAGACTCCTCCCATTATTGACAGTGTTTCAGAAAAAGGGAATGTAAATAGTAAAGATTCTAAAGATCTTCATGGAAAACAAAATGGAGGGAGTGGAAATGTTCCGGTTCGCACCATGGGTTTAGAACATTTGAATTCATTTATTCAAGCAGATAGTCCGGACAAGCAAGGAACTGAAACAAAACCTGTGCTGACCAACCCTCCCCCTCCCCCAGAGACTAGTGAAAGTACTGTTAGTGAACGCACCCCCTTTAGTTCCACCAACTCAAGCAAACACAGCTCACCCAGCGGTGCAGTTGCAGCCAGAGTGACCCCTTTCAACTATAATCCAAGCCCTAGGAAAAGCAGTGTGGATAATAGTTCTGTCCGGCCATCGCAGATACCAACACCAGTAAACACCAGTACAAAAAAAAGAGATTCAAAGACTGAAAATGCAGATTCAAATGGTGCCCAGAGTCCCAAGCGCCATTCTGGATCCTATCTGGTGACATCTGTTTAACAAATAATTCTGATGTGTTATGCTATATGTTGAAATTTTTAATGAAAGTATCCCTTTTCCTCCTTTTTTTGTAAATAGGTTTGATTCTTGTAGAGGGTCCTTGTTCTGGAAGCCATATTTGATATTCTTTATTTTCACTTATTATATTTGAGGGATTCCCAATTGATATTGATAATTTAGCAATAAAATTGCTAAAGTGATATTTGTACAGTATGTTTTACATATATTTAATTGACATCCCATACCCTTTCTTTGTTTTGGTGGGGTGGGGGAATTCAGGAAAGGCAAACACCAGAAATTAAAATAAATCTAATGCTTTTATCATTCATTCCTAGATTTGCAAAATGATTAAAGTGCATCAGGGAGAAGAAATTGGTATTTATGCAAAATAAATAGATAAACAAATAAATAAATGATTACATCTTAGTATTTGTGAAGCCACCAAATCACGTAATTAATCATGTGGCTGTGAAATTCACAGTAATATGGTTTCTGCTGAACAAGCCTGTTTTTTCTGCATGAATAGAACTGATGGTTCATTTTCTGAAATGATGATTAACAATTCTGTGGTCACATATTGTGTATAGATAGTTATGGTGTAACGATTACCTTTTGGTTTTGTGCTCTGGAAAAAGAAGAAAGGAAATCTGTGTATGTGCAAACCTTGAACAAAATTATTTTATCAGGACTAGATTTTAACCGACGGTAGGTAGGTTTTTTGCTATGCTGTAACTTGTTGTATATTCTGGTATTTGAGATAAGATGATTGCTCTTTTATTAATGAGACATGGGCAAGGTCTCAGCAGAACTAAATGAACATTTCAGAATAAATTATTGCTGTATGTACAATTTGTTGTGTTGTTACTTTTGCAGTACATAAGAAATCAATGTTTAATTTTGATATTTTTGAGAAATCCTCTTCATAGATATACTAATGCACTTACTCAAAAGGGCTTTGGGGATAATCTATATTCCATTGAAGTCAATAGAAATATTCATAGAGATTTTAATGGCTCTGGATTGCACCCACTGCCTGTTACAGTCACACACTGGTCCTCTTCCAGTTGATATTAGCTGTTAATATTCAGGCACAACAGCTGCAGCATTAGGATAGAGCATGGGGGTTTCAGTTGAGATTTCAATTGGTTCTGAGTAGAGAGAGAGGCTAAGAGAAGTACTTCCATATGTAAATATCGATGCCAAAAAGCATAGCTTTCATATTGCACAGTCTGGAGTGCTATTTGGTGTACAAATAATACCTTTACCGGGGGAAAATCTGAGGGACAGTTGCGGTTGGAAGTTTGAGTATTTTTTCATAAGTTTTCTTTTAATAAATTGGATAATACACTTGAGACTAATATACTGATTCAAGTGTCCTAGTAGAAGAAAAAACAAGATTTGTACCTTAAGCTGCTCTGGATAAACCAACTTTGTATTTGCATATGCTTTGACTTTAGAGACCTTCATTAGACTGTTTACAACAGAAGTACTCTGCTAAACTTAAGTGCCTCTATACAAAAATAGTTACCTGCGTGTGTGTGCACATGGTTAATTAAAACAGTAATAAGCAAGTAATAAGCAAGTGTTATCTCAGGCTGGTTTTTCATTATGACAGTTATACATGTAAATCATTAGATAGGAGGTTCAAGATGTCTTCACATATGCCAGTTTAACTAATAATAAAGGCAGTGTTTCTTATTTTGAGACACACTAGAGCAGTTGCTCTTATCAATTCTGTTTTTTCAAAGCAGTTGTTAAGCTTGATGTTCAAACAGTTGAAGTGGCCTATTTTGCTTATCACACCTTGATTTAGCTTTATATGGGGCAAGACAGAAAGAGCCTTTGCTTTATGCACTTCTCCTGTGAAACTACAAGGGGGAGACTAGAAGTTTCTGTTTTTAGATTAACCAGAGTTTGTGCCTAAACCATAAAAATGTAACAAGAAGCTGTCTTTATAAACATTGCCTTGAAATTAACTAGTTGTTACTAAAGGGTTAAGACTTACCTGCAGTTTGGATTCTGTTTTCAACTGCTTTGATTAACCTAAAATGGAAGCAAAAGATATTAAAGTCCTCATAGTTACAATGGAGCAGGTGATAGTAACATACACTTAGTGTTAAATCGTGGCCTGACACTATATGCAAACACAGCTGTTCTGCCATTGCTTTCTTACCATTCAGCTTCCAATTTTACTTTCCGAAACAATACACATCGTTGTCGAAGGCTTTCATGGCCGGAATCATATTTCAGAAGCATTCTCTCCTGACAATTCACCTGCATCTATGGCAGGCATCCTCAGAGGTTCTGAGACCTCACAACCTCTGAAGATGCCTGCCATAGATGCAGGCGAAACGTCAGGAGAGAATGCTTCTGGAACATGGCCACACAGGCCGAAAAACTCACAACAAAACACATCATATAAATGAGTTGGAAATACCAGCTTGCTAGAACAGAGCTCCATACATAAGTCTTTCAAAACCCTATTTCACCAACACAATTAAGGGCGTGAAAACAAGTTAGCTTAAATGCAAGGTGTCTTACAATAAGTATTATGTTAAGATAGAAATGTTCCTGTTCAATGATCTCTGTTGTTTTTGCCTTTTAACCAGCCATATGTACTGACATACCATATTGGTAGAATGTCTTAGGTGGGCATGAGCCCTGTCTATCTGATACACAGTCCTTGTGGAACATTTTTATGTTTAAATGTACTTAATGTACAGTATCACATAAGAGATCGATAAACAGGAAAAGTACTTGTTCATCAGTGTGTTTCACTTCCATTCTCTTCTCTCAGCTGTTGTTAAAAACATCTGGAGCACAGCTGCAGGGTTGCATGTGTTATCAGCCACTGACTACCAAGCTTTTAATGGTAACTTGATGTCACTGATGATGTAAAATTTGTACTTGCTGATTACTGCTATTTTTACTTGTACTGAATTTAATCACTCGTATGCACCGCACAGTATGGGCAAAACCAAGTCAACAGCTTTTCATCAGGGTGGGAGATATCCACTGACTTTTCTCCTTCCTTCCACTGCTCTGGTAATGAGAATTGTGTTCATCGTGTTAATTTTCTCTTTGATTACTTGTGAATTATGTACAAACTGAGATTTTGTTTTCTTTTGTAAATTAATTATGTCAAATTGAAATAAACTAATGACAGCTCTATGTTCATGTAAAACAAAGAAAATTGCCCAGGAAAACGAGAAATGTATACATTGTAATGTTTTCTTTCCATCCTTTTTTACAAGAAGCATACCTTTTAGTTCCAATGTATGTGGCATATGGATATATTTATTTGAAGGCTGTTACCATATCTGTATTTCAAGCCTATCATTGCCCATACTCTACCTTTTTAAAAGTATTAACTGAATTGTGATATTCAACTTGTGTGAATTAAATAATTTATTGTTCAAAGTCATGTACTTTATCTTTTATAATATGTTTTTTCAAAACCTGTAAGCTGCCCATTTCAGCTCTTTATGTACCGACAATGTAAAAACTCAGTATTCTGAATTTTTTAAATCTCTCTGATAGATCATCCATAATTTCAGAGATATGAGGCCATCATTTTGAAACTAGTGACACTGACTATTAATATGTTCCAGAAACTTAACATGTTTCTTTGTATATTTCTAATGTGTAAAAGCAAACAAAAAAATTAAAATTTGAAATCTTGTGTTTAGCAGAATTTAATTCGTAACAGTATAGCTGGATGACTTTTCAACTTCTCAGTGTTGTTCATACGTTTTAATGAAATATTCCAATACATCCAGTCCAAAAATGTATCCATATGTGCTCTCACTATATGTATGTACATATTTAAAAGTCATTTTAAAAACTGAGCACCACTTTGTGTGTCTCAAATGGACTGTCTGTTTTCTTCTTTTAAGGCAGATTGACAATAAGATTCAAGATGGGCTAATATTAGGTCTATTAATTATTTTTTTCATATTTGAAAAGAATTGAATAAGATTGTGACAATTAGAATTGAAGAACAACAAATAATAGGTGATAAAGCGGGATGACTAGCAACTTGTAGCAAGCTGGCAAATGTTTTCATTCCCGATTTTAGGGACTGTCACCAACAGAATCACTTTGACAAGTAAATCTATTATTATTATTTTATTATTATTATTATTGGTGGTGGTGGTGGTGGTGTAGTGGTAGTAATAGTAGCATTTCTATCCTGCTTCTTCTCTCTGACAGTACTCAGGCCCCTTCCACACTGCCCCTATATCCCAGGATTTGATCCCAGATCATCTGTCTATCCCAGATTATCTGGCAATGGGGACTCATACAATCCAGTTTAAAGCAGATAATCTGGAATGAGATCCTGGGATCTAGGGTAGTGTGGAAGGGGCCTCAAAGCTGCTAAATTCAAAAATCATACAATATGTAAATTAAAACCCAAAGTACAAACCTTGAAATAGAATTAAATCTATGCCCATAGAGCTTTTCCTAGGCATAATGGTCTCCTACAAAAGAATGTCTAGTCTGCCCCCTCACACCTGTGGTGGAGATATGTATGCCCACATTGAAGCACATTTGGCCCATGCAATGGAAATAAAATAGTACTGTAAATATGATATAATAAAGAAATGAACAACTCATGAACATCTGGATGGCAGGGGGCTTGGACTAGATGGCCCTTGTGATCTCTTCGAGCTCTATGATTCTAGGTTGAAATTATTAATAGCTAATGATTTTGTGTGTGTGTCAGGAGCGACTTGAGAAACTGCAAGTCGCTTCTGGTGTGAGAGAATTGGCCATCTGCAAGGACATTGCCCAGGGGATGCCCGGATGTTTTACCATCCTGTGGGAGACAGCTGTAGCTGACAGATGAGAGCTCACCCCACTCCATGGATTCAAACCACTGACCTTTTGGTCAGCAGTCCTGCCAGCACAAAGGTTTAACCCATTGCACCACCTTGGGCTCCTAATAGCTAATCATGAAGGATCCTGGAAGATGCAATACAAATCCATTTGAATTATTGCCTTCTTCCCACCCCTGCTGTGGTAACATTCATACCACTGGGTAAGTTAGTTAATGACAAATTTGTCCGACTGAATTCAATAGGACTTAAATATGTTTAACCTATATGTTCTGATTCTGTGTTTCTTGAATAAAACACCTTTGTTAAAGCATGCCATTATGGCATGCCATTGTGGCAATGAGTGATCTATACCTAGCAATATACACTTTAAACAGATAACTTGTCATTCATGGGGCCCCCTGGTGGCACAGCAGGTTAAGCTGCTGAAATTGCTGACCAAAATGTCAGCGGTTGAATCTGGGGAGCAGGGTGCGCTCCCGCTGTTAGGCCCAGCTTCTGCCAACTTAGCAGTTTGAAAACATGCAAATGTGAGTAGATCCAGCAGTAAGGTAACAGTGCTCCATGCAGTCATGCTAGCCACATGACCTTGTAGGCATCTATGGACAATGCCAGCTCTTTGTTCATTTATTTTAAAATAAAAATTACATCTTTTCATTGTAAAATGACTAGATAATTCCCAAAATCATGTTACATTGTGTCTAACTCTGTTCAGAAATTGCTGCTATCTTAGTTTGCACAAGGAATGAAGCTTTATTGTTTTCTTTTCCAAAATGCTAGAAAACAAAGAATGACCCTTCCATTTCACACACAATGTTTTGCACTTTTTTCACTGACCCACAATACTAATTAGCATTATGTTTTTCAAGATAAAGCTGCCACTTGAAAACTTCAGATCAGTTACACAGACTATTCATATAACCAAATAGGACTTTTGAGATGTAATGCAATTTCCATTGTCCTTCAGTATGGGTTATGCTGCCGGAATAATGCGGGAAGACTAGCAGTCCATCATCATTTCTAAGATGAGACATTTCTCCACTCTTTCTACAGAAGGTTTCCAATATTCAAATTAAAGTAATCATAGATATTATGTAGAAAAATAGGAAAGAATTACCAATATTCACCTTACTCACCAGTGCTGACCCTAGTCATGGGTCTGATGCAGTTTTTGCAATTTGTCTTCATGTCAGGCAATACTGGGCGTATTGCTCTTTCACTGTTTTCATCTCCTTTCTTTACAGTGCAGTTTATAGGTATATTTTGTAGAAGTGTAACATGTCAACATGCAATGCAAATGCTTATTTTAATCTCTGCCTCTTCCAACCAAATCAATGTTATAAGAATACCTTAGAGCCAATGGTTCCCAACTTTTGGCCCTCCAGATGTTTGGGATGTCAATTCCCAGAATACCCAGCCAGCTTGGTCAGTTTTCAGGAATTTTGGGAGCTGAAGTCCAAATCACCTGGAGGAACAAAAATTGGGAAACGGCACCTTAGGCTATGTGAAATATTTTACTGTTTTCTGTGGCAATTGCCATTGCTATGGGAGTGCATGTGTGTGTGCAATGAAAAGAGGATTCAAAGCCATCTGTTAAGTATCTATTGCTTTCCTTTATATCTCTTCTACTTTGACAGCTGGCTGGGAAAGGCTTGACCTACAAATATGTAGTTTATATGTTCCTTGTTAAGAGCTTTGTGTTTCTAAATATGATGCCATGCATTATTTTCATTTTCTTACTTATTTGTGTACCTGGACCTCAATTTTACATGCAACTACATAAAGACAAAAATGTATCTAAAACCTTCCATGCAACACTGTACACAATTCAGTAGATATAGAACCACTTGGTCTAGTTCTTGGGAAAGGGTTTGACAGTCCAAATATTGCAACAGAAGAGTCCTGCCATGTATACCCACCGAACGCTTTCTTTTGGTGGTAGGAATGTAAGGACAGCCCTCTGACACAGATTGAGTAGCCATTATTCAAAATCCTTGAAAACTGAAATGTTTTGGATTTTTTTCAGGTTTTTGAATCGCTGTTTTGGTTTACAGTATTTGTGGATAATGAGATATCTTGGAAGTGGGGCTCAAGTCTGAGCATTAAAATCATTTCTGTTTCATGTACACCTTATACATGTAGCCTCAAGGTAATTTCATGTATTGTATTTTTACAATACACAGTAATCCATGTGAACAATTTTGGATTTAAGGATTACTGATCAACCTGTAACGAGTGCTCGCACGGAGAATGATCTTTCAGAGATCTTTGTCCCAAGCCATTTAAAGCTTTATAATTGATCATAAGGGGCACCTTAAGTCAAGAAAGAACTGCCAACCATTGCCTTTGGAGAGGACAGTGTGGTCATCACATGGGCACATTGCAAAGAATAGTCTAAATGGGATGAAATGAAGACCTAGGTTACTGTAGCCAGATCTGTCTTCTCTAAAAAGGGTCACAGATGGTTTACAAGCTAATGCAGACCAATAGTGCAGCTGCAATTTAACCCTCTAGTAACAATACTATACACCCGGTTTAAGAAATATAAAAAGGTATGCTCCTTTATACAGTGAACAAGTGTTTATTGTGCGACAAATTCCAAATTATATAGTATTTTATGAAATTGATATTTGGATCTTAGATTCCAAATACAGCAGTTCTGTCCAAAATAGGTTACACTGCTATATAATGCAGTTTCAGAATGCGGTTTAACTTCATTGAACAGGATGATATGGCAGTGTAAACTCATAATCCAGATCAATGTGGCCAAATTGCATTCTGAAACTATTATTTTGTATCAGAGATGTAGCCATAGTCAATGGTTTACACTGCAACATCATTTGCAAAGCCACAGACTTATATCAAGACTAGGGCTGCCTTTTCCTGCTATATGGATATAAAGTATTATTTTACTTCAGTCCCTTTTAACAATTCAGTATGACAACAAAGTCAAAAGTGGCATACTCAATGTTCAGTGAGCAAAACCTGATATAAATGAGATCAGAATGAACATATAACTGTTAATGCCATCTAATTTGACACATTAGTTCCAATGGCATTGCACATTTTGATTAGGCATGTGTCACTCCATGCTTTTATATCAAGACTAGGACACACAGGAGCCAATATTTGCCCCGTGTTCCTCTCTAAGGGCTACATCAGGGCAATTGTCATTTTTTGTTAAACTGACTAAAAAAACATGGTTTGGTTGAGGATGAGTAGATGCCAACCATGATACACACACACAAACATACACACAAATAAAATTTTAAGATTGAAGGAAAGTTGCAAAATTTGGGACAAATTTGGGCAGTGTAGCACCCACTAGCTACGATTTCCCCACCCTTGAAATAGATCTATAGAACCACCTACTTAAAGTACTCTTAAAGCTGAGCCAGCTTTGGTATCATTTCAGAGTATAGTGAAATGAGATTAAATAGATTTAGGAAGAACATTACTAAATTAGAAACTCAAATCTTGTTAAAGATCAATATTAAGTGTATTTAAAAAAAAACATTCAACCTCACCTTAAGCCAGTTCATTAGGATTACAATGGGCCTGTGAATTGCACAAGGTATCCATTTCCATGTAATAAACTTTTGCATAATCTAGAGCAAAGCTTCTTAAACCTTTCTACTTCTGACCTCTTTTCTTCTGTTAATTTTTTTCTGTGATCCTGGGTATACGCATAGGTTTGTTTTTTCATGTCAGGAGAGACTTGAGAAACTACAAGTCACTTCAGGTGTGAGAGAATTGACTGCAAGGATGTTGCCCAGGAGACATCCGGATGTTTTGCCATCCTTGTTGGAGGCTTCTCTCATGTCCTCACATGGGGAGCGGGAGC